AAAAATGTCAACCTTAAAGTATAAGGACCATTATTGTAGCAATATGCAAAAGGAAAGATTGGTCCTCTCCATCCATCTCTAGCTGTCAGGTGACCAGCAAATGAAAAATGTGCAATGAAGCACCTGCTCAGCCCTCACCCACACCCCGACCTCTGCCCGCTTCACCTGAAAGTCCCCTTCATCCTACACCAGAATAAAGTGAACAGGGTTTGCCATTGGACTCCCCACCAGGATGACTTAATTCTCTCTCACTGCTGCTTAGTCAACCAAATCACATCACTAAGAAGCTGTGTGCTCCACCAATCAGGACACTCTAGTAAGGGATGGCAGACTCATTCCAGGGATTTGATAATGCTTGAACCACCGTCCCCCTTTCCCACCTGCTTCCAGCCTTTAAGCTATTACCCTGTTGTGAATGTGTGTGTATGGATGGCTAGACTGTTAAACGCAGGATTGCTTAGTCTGCTGGTTATCAGAACTTGCCTTCTCGATACAGTAAGAGGTCTGATGGGTAAAGTAGTGCTTTGTTGTGAATTTTAAAGGAGACAGGACTTTGGCAGGAAGTATCTCAGCATTCCTATTTTTCTCTGCTGAGGTTCTTTCTGGTCTGTCAGAGAGGGATTCAAAACCACATTATTCTGGGTCAGCTGAGACCCACAATAATCTTTGCCCCTCTGTTAAACATCACTGTGTTACAATGCAATCCTATACACAAGCCTAAGTTTATAAATACACCAGTATACAGTATCATTTGTTTGCTAAATATGTGAAGCTATGGAGAGGATGTAGATCTAACACTGTACCTAGGTCACAGATCACTATAAATGGGGCGTTATGCTTTTGCTCATAACTCAGTGTAAAATGAAGAATGATTTATTTGTTCCTTTTTTCCTTTATTTGATTGTGTGTATATTGTCATTTTAGTGTATTTTCTCTGGTTTTGCCACAAAATTACCTTTTATATATATATAAACAAAATAATATACCACATATATATATATACAGTATTAAATTAAGCTTTTTTATTTTGTAAAAATCAAACTGGATTTTTGGCGTGTGTCAAATTTCTGAACATCATTTGTGTGTGTAAACTGACAGGATTGAACTCTGCCAGTGTCCAATTCTGATACCATTTTTTGTTTTGAAGCCACATGTTGAATATCCCTTTTCTGTTTATATGGCACGTCTAATTCTGCTCATATTCTTTCAGCTTCAAGACAGTATCTGAGTATTAACCTATCACCTCTACGCATTCTCACACACCAGTGGTTTTTCGATTTGAGAGCACACACACACACACACAATACTCAATTCTTGGGGATATTCTCAGCAGCTTTTTATTCACACCTTTCACCGCAATCAGTGCAATTATATGCTGTAGCTCAAGAAGGTCGGCTTTTCATATATTATCCATTTCCTCTGATTTTAAGGTGCATATCAAGAAATAGTTTTTCTTGCCTAAGCCTATTCTTGCAGCAGGTGCCTCTTGTTTGTGAATAGTATTAAGTCCTTAGTTGCCATCCGTCCACTCACTGCATTCATGTACAGTTATAGCTGTGACTGTGAAACAGAATCCTACTGGAACTAAATCCTAATATCAGGTCAACATTACGTACCCATAGACATTGATGACTCACAGTGTAAGTGCAGGTGTTCAGTGTTGTTGGAATTTCTTTTGAGTTAAAGTCATCATAAGCTGAAGTTTAAAAAAACTTTTCAGGGAATGAAAAAAGATCAAATGAACAGAAATACTTTTTTCAAATAACCCCGTTGTGCTTTGCTTCATTCTGTCTGCACGGCTCCTGGATCAACATTTTATCCTGTTCAGGTATTTTTGTATAAATAAGGGACTGGTATATTCTCTGTTTTATTGGACATTAGAATAAAAGACAACATTGCTATAAACCAAACATGTCTGACCTGGTGATGTGTTCTGTTTACGACGCGTTGTGTACTTTCTCTCCTCAGTCAGAAAAAGTGGGTTTGGTTTAGTTATCTTGATGGTGTTGAACTTTTTCTAACCTAACTTTAAATACATTTTGACAATTTTTTAAATAAGCAACACATGAATTGACACCTGTGAGATCATAAACTGTGCTGCTTTACTAAATGCTATAATCATTTTACAAATGATTGGCATGTGTCTAAGGCTGTGCATCTTTACCGGTCTCACGATTCTATTATGATAATCTTGTCAACAATTCAATAAATTTCAATATCAATCCCATGCTTATTTTTCTACATTATTGCACATGGCTACTTTTTTCATCAAAGAAGCGAGCAGATAAATATGAACTCCCTTTTTTATGTTTTACAAAGTTCTTTAAGAAAAGATAAAATAGTCTTTATTGATGCTACATTGGTGGAAATTAACACATAACGTGTCATTAACATGTTAAGAAATCAACGTCAACATTGTAAACCAAAAAAAATCAATTAAATGGGTACAGCCGTGGTTGGGAAGTCTACGCGCAACATCAGTACGTAATAAGATTGTGAGGACAGTGGATGGAGTCAGAAATCAGGGAGAGAGAGAGTAGGGCATGACTTGCAGGAAAGGAGCCGCTTGGAGGACCACAGCCTCCATACATGGGGCACGCGCAGTGACCACTGCGCCACCAGCGCCCCAACATACTGTGTATTTGAATTTGTTTTTAGTTTTAAAGTTAGTCTGGCACATTGTCTTAATAATTTTCCGTTCAAAATGAAATTAAATCATTTTCTTTATTTTGATTTTAATCGTGTTGTACAGTAACGCTCTTTTAATTGGATGACCCCTCGTTGGATTAATAAAGAATATCATCTTCTACTTAATGGACTTGTGCCTGTATAGTACTTTTTAAAGCACTTTTTACAGGTCACACCCATTTACGCTACATTCACACACTGATGGCAGAGGCTGCAATGTCAAATGTCCATCAGTATTAATAATCCATTTATACTAAGGGTGTAACAATTCATCTACTACATTGATCCAACTACATCAATAGGTGCTCCGCAAGTTGCCCTTCACGGGGGACGTAAATCAATCTAAAATCGATTTGCAAGGTTAATCTATTGTATCGATACTGAGACTTTATATAGTGTATTTGAGTGTGGCAAACTTTATATAGATGTATTGAAGCACTGCTTCTGTTCTCATTTTCAATCTAAAGAGGGCAATAAAAAGTGCAACCAACAATTCTTTGAGTTGTGTGAACTCTGGTTTACCTGCTGCCTTCGTTATCAGTTTCAGTATAAAATGAAAAGATTATCAACCTGAAGAGAAGTTGGTTATTTTTCTTGTTAAACATTGCACTGCCTTGCATCTTGACTGAATTGGCAGGTACTGAAGTTGCACTATTTTTCTTTGAGCAATGTGTTTACTCTTGTATATTCATAGTTTATCCCTTATTTACTTAAAAAGAACCACTTCTAGGAATCCTAGAAAGTGTCTCTCCCTAGAGGACACTTGGACATTCTTCAGGAGCTGTGTATCGAACACCTGACCGTCTGGTTGAGAGACGACTCGACCTCTGAGTGGTTGCCATTATCATACATGAAGAGACTGCCATTGGTGAAGGTTGTAGTTTAGTATTTTTAATATAATATTTGTTTTATATTTTACACTAAATTATACTACCTCAATGAATTTATAAAAATGTCAAACTAAATCCAGAACAGAAACAATTCTGGTTTTCTGGTTCTGATTTGTTACAACAACAAAAAAAATCAGAATAAAAAGGATACTTGAAGTGTCTGAATTAATATTTGTTCTACAGAAAATCTGAATCTGTGACAGGAACGTTATTGTTTTTTTTAGCATTAACTGCATTTTGCTGTTGTTTCTGTACAGCATAAAGCAAAATGAAATAATCTGAGGGGTGAGGATCAGACAGAGTATAAAAGAAAACTCTAACAAGTGAGTTATTAAGTTATTTTCCTCTACTGGCCTCCAAGTTTGAAAACAATGAGGAGTTTGTGGGAAAATGCCTGTCACAGCTAACTGACATCTGAAAACAAACAAACAAAAAATATTTTCTCATCCTGAGTGGGTGAGAATTAATTTATCATTAAAGTGGATGATAACAGCTGAGTATTTCCTGTGTTGAAATGTAAACATGTCTTTGTTAAAAAAAAATGTTTACAGTGTCTGCATGATCTTAAGAAGCTCACTCTTTAGTCACTGATGCTGTGACATTAATAGAGTGGAAGAAGTAGGCCTACAATATTAAACGTATAAAGTGACAACCCATAGGACAGGAGAGCAGACATCTGCATCAAACTATGAAAGAGTGGAAACCCAGGTAGTGGTCTACTCTAAAGCTGTAGCTACAAGATACACCAATCACATTGATCTGGGAAGAGAAGAAAGACAGCTTTGCTGGAGTACATAAATACATGTGGTTGAATGAAGAAGGCTGAATATTTGTAGCATCTTCGACCATCATACTGCTTAACAATACAGACACTGCAAGTCAGAGGCAACTGAAACTACAGTGGGGTAGACTAGACAGTGTGGGGGGAGACCGACATGCATTTAGGTCGATGTCGGAATCTTAACTGTGGCCAATTTGACAAGGACTGTAGCTTCTGCTCTACCGACTGAGCTAAACTAATTGATCCAGTTTATCAAAACTTGTCCAGAAGAAGTCCAGTGACTGCTGTGAACGAACAGCTGACAGTCTGGAACAGTCCATGAGCTCTGAGAGAGAACTGGAGATAACAGTACCCAATGAGTACTCATAGCAGTGAAATAAGGGAATGAATTAAGGGCAGCTAATTTACCTTTGAAGAAGCATCTGGTCAAATCAGTCGAGTATGAATTTGAATTGATTTTTGAATTTACTGAATTGATGACTGAAACATTTTAAAGTCAGAAACAAACGCTCTTCTTGGTGTATGGAGACGCATCCAAGCCACAGTAGTGTCAGTGAACTTCTCATTTGAGCTTAAAGGAGACTTGAGTTAAATTATAAAAGAAAACAATGGTTAAGAAACAAAATGTTGAACGGGGAAGATGATTTCATTGTGTTTAATTTTCAAATAACTGATGGCAGAATTAAAATATTTACAAGAGAAAATATGTATGATCTGTACAAAGAAATATACATGCAGATAAAAAAAAAACAAACGTAAAAAAGAAAAACAAATACCAAACATGAAACAAAGGAAATTGGAAACAAACATGACAAAAAAAAAGACAAACAACAATGATAAAAAAAAAAAAAACAACCCTAAACTGAGGTATACAGTCCAAGTGTCCTTGTCTTTCATGGCTGTGTCACACCTTTCAAATAAATTAAAAAAAAAAGAAAAAAAAAAGGTATCCGAGGAGGTGGTCCCCTGTTCCAGGTAAAGTCATTGTTCCAACATCATTGTTTGAATGCAACATGTCTCGACCCTGTGCTGGATGAATGTGTTTCGCTGTAGCTGTCCTGTTTTTTTTTTTTTTAAATGTGCAGGACAGAAAATCTAATCAGACTGAAAGCCACTGGTTATTCGCCGTTTCAGGGTAGTTTGTTTTTTTTTCATAAGGAAAAGGAATTTATTAATAACTGTTTTGGCAACAAGTATCTGTACATAAAATTAGAACAGCATTTACTAAATGATGTTCAAAATCTCCAACTCAAACGAAACTTTCTTGAATCCCCTGCTTTTGTTATGACGAGCACAACAGACTCCATGAAACTTCCTCCAATCTCGAGTTGAACTTGTGTAAACAATCATTTCACATGTGAACCATAATCACAATTAAACGGATTATTAAGTACTATAAAGCTAGCGCGACTTTGGTGTACCAATACTACAAAAGGCATACACTGCAAGAAGTGTTTTAATGAGTTCGATCAAAGTATAATGATTGTAAATGTGACCTTTAACCTTGACCTGGCCTGGAAGTCGCAACACTCAAAAGATCAAATAAACACAAACTACCAGCAGTGCTTGCAGTACCAAGTACATGCTTTTCTCTAGATTTATTACAGATACAACAGATGTCTTCATAAATAGTTGCATAAAATGTTAAAGCCGCAACATTGCACATGATAATCAAACATAACATACAATGAGTGCATTTACAGTAATTTGTCTTCCTCTCTCCGAAACCACTCCCACAGATTTTGGCAGTCACTGCTGCCAAAGAGGCTGGGACAGTCTGATCTCCTGCCATCCAAAGCAGGAGTCCAATGTGAATGTCAGAGGAAAGAAGGCAGAAGTTTATATACATGGTAAGGCTTAAACATCTCATATCTGCCGCAACACAAGTTTTGTTCTAGAAAAAGCAAACAATGGATGTCTATTGTTTCTTCTCAGAGTGGACAGTGCAGCATTGTTACTTGCAACATGGTCATCATGGTATCTTAGATAAGGTACATTATATAAGCGCTGCCATCAAAAAGCTCTGATTGGATGTATAAATGTCTCATTAAAGTTACTGTCTGTGTGTCTACAGAGTCCAAAGTGGCACAGCAACTTTCAACCGATGAGCATTTCTACATTTTTTTTTTTTTTTAAGTTTTTTTTTTTTAAGTTTTTGAAACATAGAGACAGACGTTTCCTTTTACATTGTTTCTATAAGAAAGGGCTGCTTCTCAAAAGTCTTTGAGTTACAGTTTTAGTGTAAAAGAGCAAAAAACATACAACATCTGTGTCCCTCTAGCAACAAGAGGGAGGGAGGTTTGCTCTCAGCACTCTCAACAGCATTGTTAGCATCACGCGCCGCGATGCAGTGGTGTCAAGGCTGAATCAGTTGGCTCTTTATGATCCACTTGAACTCTTGCAAAGGAAAATAAATTACTTCATTATGTTTTTTTTAATATATATATTTATATATATATTTGTTCACTTAACTACAAAATCTTGAATGAGTTGAAACCAGCAAGCAGCAGTAGACAAAGGGCATCCAATAATTTACGTGATTGGAGAGAACTCTGTTCTCTAGGGACCTGATTAGTTTAGGACCTCGACAGGTCTAAATTTAATATGGGGAAAGGACTACCGGACTTTAGGAAATCAGCATTCTGTAAAGGAGGACAGAATCAGCATTCGTTCTTTTCATCTAAACCATCAAGATGCTCTATTCAAAAGGAACCTGCAGTCCCTGAAGCCTCAGTACTCGACAACAAACTGTGAAGGAAGTCTTGATTTTCCTGCTTTTGTCTGCTATGATCGGATAGAAGGCAGGAGGAGTCCAAGTTTAGTTTGGATTTGTATAAGCTATCCTTTAAACTTGGGGCTGAAGGCGACTTTGGATGAAGCTCCTGACTCCTCCCATGGCGCGGGCATCAGTCTGATGTTTCCTCCGGTCTATGAAGGAGATGAGGCGGGAGGTGTCCAGGCAGCCCTCTGCTCTGGCCCTGCCTTCAGCCGTACCGACCTGCAGCCACGGCTCCTGAAGGCAGAGCCCAGCAGGAGGCCTCCTGCCCGGGTCAGTTCTTAGGAGCAGACAGATGAAGTCCCGAGCTGCCTGGCTGACGCCCTGGAAGTAATCCCTGGGGAAGCTGAAGTCTAACTGGCAGATGTTCAGGCAGGTCTCCTCTGCGCTCTCATCGAGGAAGGGGGAGGCACCGCTCAGCAGCACGTAGGTCACCACTCCCAGACTCCACATGTCGGAGTTTAACGACACCGGCTCTCCAAGGACCAACTCAGGGGAGGCAAACTCAGGGCTGCCCAGCAGAGGGTGAACGTAGTGGGCACTGTTGAGCTGGACAGCATCACCAAAGTCGGTGAGTTTGACTGTGGGCTGCCCACTGGTGCCGGTCACAAGCATGTTCTCAGGCTGGAAATAGAAATCACAGAGGCACCATTAGTGTTGTTCAATATGTTCATTATTGCTGCAGTCAAACGATCAGGTTTCTAGTTGTAAATTGTACGTCCATTCATTTTTTAAATTTTATTGTCCATCTTGGGTTGTCAAGATGCCAGACGATACTAGCAAAGAGAACAATATCGAGACCGGTTTGGAAACCACGGCAACAAAAAACACGAACTCTTAGGCACTTAAATTGGGTAATTTTCATTATTTTTCAAAAATGAGTGTGTGGTTGTGTCTGGATATGCAGAGAGAGTGCTCTCTGTCTTACTTTTCTTACAATTTTGGACATTTTGGGGCTTCAGTTAGTGTACGCAGGTTGGGACTACATTAGGACGTATAGGGACCAGATCACAACGCTGCCTCTGTCCTTATAAGGCACATGAGGCTTAATGAGACACTGAAAGAACTTATTTTTTGCCAACCTGTGAATTAGACAGAAATCTGTTTTTCATAAGCTGTGGTACTTTTAGATACTTTAAAATGTTAGGTCTTTGGGAGATAGTATCATTTTAAATAACGTGGTATCAAAAAGCCTAACACTATTAAAATGTAGAGAATTTAATGTCTTTAAGTATTTAAGAGAAAAGGAGGATCTAAAAGCAAGTTGATCCCTTTAAGGCTGGAAACACACATTCTGACCTAGCCATGAAGACCAAGCTTAGATGTATGCATGAGCTATCAAGGACAGTAATAGAAACAACATTAAGGGGGAACTGCTTACCTTCACGTCCAAATGTACAATCCTGCTGTTGTGAAGGTAGTGTAAAGCTTCTAAAATGTCGCGTAGGTAACAGGCCACTTTCTCCTCCGTCAGATTCCCCCAGCTAACAATGTAGTCCAGCAGACGACCTTGATCAGCCCTGAAACACAAATAATCACAAACACATCAGAAGGGAGACGTACTGTAAGTAGGTTTTACCCGAGCTGATGGTTCACACATGTTTGAGTTTCATTCCACAACTCACATCTCCATGACGAGCGCGTAGCTGGCGGGGGTTTCATACGTGTCTATCAGACTGACTATGTGGGGGTGTTGGAGTCTCTGGAGCAGATTGAGTTCCTGAGTCACCCTGTCCCGCCTCATCAGCTTCTTGTTCACGTGTTTGACCGCCACTGTACGTTTGGTGCCCCGCTGGTCACAACGCTTCACAACAGAGAAACGACCCCTGGGGAAACACAGAGGAAGGATTCAGAGGTTACAGGTGTGGTTGACATGTATATAGAGCTTTCTTAAATGATGTGTAAGACATTTAACAAGGGAAAACCCCTTCAATTGGCCATATGAAGGACATACAATAATATATGTCCATTGTCTCTTGAAGTGTCATGAAGATTGGTGTATCATAGATGTATTACTCACACCCATCATCCCCCCACCACTCCTCCTGGTCACACACACACACACCTCTCATCCATCTGTATTATTGTATTATAGTATGTTCATATTATGTCCATATTCTTTATATTATCTGTAAACTAGTATAGCATGCTCACTGCACCTTAATCTGTATATTATTAGTATAGCATGCTCACTGCACCTTAATCTGTATATTATAATCCTAAGAATACACTTATTTTGTAGCATTACTTATTTATAGCATTTATTTATATTTATTGCATCCCATTAATCCAGCCATCCAGATATACCTAATAATTCACTTTTTTTGTCTACATCTGTAAATTTTGTAATTACTGTACATAGCACAGACTCTTGCACTTTCTGCTTATTTGCACTTCTGGTGAGATGCCAAACCTCATTTCGTTACTCTATACTTGTATATGTGTAATGACAATAAAGTTGAATCTCATCTCATCTCATCATCTCATTAGGTAGAACACAACAGTGAGTCTGTTACCTGCCCAGTTCAACCACCTCGGTGAAGTGCGACTCAAAGTTGTCCTTCCAGCTCACTCTGATCCCATCACTGGACATGGCTGTGAAGAATAAACACAACAAATCAATTCATGTCCAAACTGAGCACCAGCATGTCCTCTTGTCCTCCGACGTCATCCGCCTGCTCTCTTACCTAACACTCTGAGGCTAGCTGATGATGCGACGCTGCCCAGCTCGTTTGTGGCAACACAAGTGTAAACACCATCGTCCTCAGAGGCTACGCCAATAATCCGCAGTGTCGCCTCACCAGTATCGCTGAAATTTAAAAAAAAAAAAGACATGTTCATTTAGATCACATTTCAACATTTAACTCGTTCATCATTGACTGTTCTCTTAACTGGTCAAACACAGTCACCTGCGCTGCAAGAAACACGTGAAACAACAAATCGCACAGAATATTCAATTAACTCAAACGACAATCTAAACTGCAGTTTGTGCTTTTTGCTATATTTCTTAAATAATACAAAACACACCACTTTCTGTCACTGCGGTTAAACCCGTCCATGTCCTCTTACCTGTAGGTGATGCTGAAGTGTCCGTTGTTGGTAAGGTTGCTCTGGTTGGGTCCTTTCCAGGTGACGGATGCCCGGGGTCGCCCACAAACCTTACACCTCAGGGTGACGCTCTCTCCGTTGTCACATGTCACATCACTCAGCGGTACAAGGAACTCTGGGGGAACTGGAAGAGGAAGGACTGATGTTCAATTCCTGTCATATTCTTTCATTTTTGCAATAACAAAAAAAAACAAAAAAACAAAGTAACATTTACCATCATAGATGTAGTTTGGATTTAGAAGCTGAAAAAAAAATGGAAAAATCCCATTAGATCAAAGAATACACCATGGTGCACAAGTTTCATTAAGTAGAAGCAGAAGATTTTTTTTTTTTTTTAAATACTGTTAATCTCACCTTTACAGAAACTTTATTGGCCAGGCTGTCTCTGGACTTCCTGTAACCGTTTTCCAGCTTGCTCTCTTTCTTTGCCTCCTTCTCCTTTTTCTCGGATTTTTTACGGATGCGCAGGGACGTGTGCCAGGATGAAGACTTCCTACTAGAACAACAAAATGTATCAAATCAAAGTCAACTAAGCAAGGCAGTCAGAGACTTGGATTTAGCTTTACAGCATAATACTCAATGAGATACCTTGTTGAACTTACATTGTGTTGTTTCGGGAATATTTTAGGGAGATGTTGAAAATAAGAGTTCAGGAAAACTCCCAAACATTGATGTGGATGAATCTTCGATATATATTTGAGAGACCTGATAATGACTAGAGGTGTAATGACTAAAGCCTGGTGGTCGCTGCCGACTTAAGGCTGCTCAGAACCGATTATCTGTCAGATTATCTCGTAGTGAGTGGTACAAGGTTCCAATCTTATTTCAAACATGTTTGATATTTAGAATTTAAAATCTTAACGATTACGTCCTGAAAGTGTCCGGCAGACGTCGTGTGTAACTTCAATCGCAGAGAGAGACGAGGGAGGACAGTAATAAGTGTGTAGTCGTGGTGAGCGGCGGCAGGAGGCAACCCGCGCGGCAGCTCTTGACTACTGTGATGCTCATAGTTACAATCTGACCTCCAGCTCTCACTGAAGAATATACAACCCATGTAGTCCGCATCTCCCCAGTCTTTTCTTTACCCAAAACCTTTTTAATTCTTTTATGTGTTTTTACTCTCTGCACAAAGCATTATAATCGCAAATGACATCATCTCTTATTGATTGGCAGGCCACAGAACTGAATAGAATACAAATTGCTTTGTGGCAGACTTTGTGATGTCGTGTACTTTTGTAAAAAAAAAATCAAACAAATACAAAATAAACTTGTGATTTTAAACCTCTAATAAATTCTTCATAATACTTACTTGATGGTTCCCTCAGGACAATCGGGGATGATGGCTGAGGTGTGTCCGAGCACAAAACCGGGGATCCAGCCCTCGGCGGCGGGGCCCTGCTCAGTCGCTGCCCTGAAAACCAGGAACATGTTTTGCTGGTTGCTGGCCAAGATCTGGACCACCTCGCCCTGATTAACGCTGATTTCATCCTCCTTCACGGCCATGTAGTCCTGGGTCACCAACATGGTGGATACACTACTGCTGCTGCTACTTTCACTCTGCAGCACAGGGACAAATAGAGGACATTTTAGAACACTAAGTACCTTTTCACAGTGTTTCATTCTAAGTTACATTTCAAATCGAAATTTAAACACTTATGGATTAACTTTGAATCTGCCACTTTCATCTAAATATGTTTATAATTATTCTTCAGAGGTGAAAGAAAATGTCAAAGCAGAAAACAAACACTAGAAAAGCTATTCGATTACTGTCTCCTTGATACAGTCTTCAGAAAGGATAAGACTAAATTACAAGAAAGAGTGAAAAACAGTGATTAGTTATTTCATTACTGAAAAGACAACAAAAAAGATCTGAACAAAGAGGGGCAGGAAAAGTTGGAGAGACTCGTCTTTGCTCTGCCACTCACGTCAAAGACGAGGAATGTTAGGTTGAATGAGAGGATCTCGTTTGAGTACATTTGTAGGCGACCCACAAACGTAAGGGGTTAGTTGCAGGAAAGTAGGTTTCAGTAACACACCATGAAGACAGCAGGAAGTGAAAGACGGCCAGGAGGAAGTCAGGTGTTAGTACAAGCTAACATAAGAGTCAGAAATGTAGAGACAGCCTCAAAGGGAGTCTCTGAAGAGCTGATTTACGTCCGCTAGTGAGGTTTTGAATCTTGAAACATGTTGACAGTGGAAACATTTGAAAAAGATTGTCTTCAGAAATGACCTAAAGCCAGAGAAGATGATGTTGAAGAGCAGTGAAGGTTGTCAGAGATGCGTAGTAGGGGACAGATTAGTAGAGCTGGCTGCAGCAGGACAGAAGACAGCAGGCAGACAGGACAGACCAGACCTCCTTCTGCCTCTGTGTTAGTCAGTGCTGTTCTGGGCAGCAGTAGTCTTACCCCGTTACTCTGGGTGGACTGGATGGACTGCTCACTGGCCGATGAGCATGTACTCATGCGGTCGGCTTCCTTGCTGTGCGTGGAGTGTCTGTGGGACTGGCTCCCAGATCCAGAGCCCGTCTGGATCTGGTTGGAATTCTGACGGACTGGAGTCTCTCCTGCCTCCCCTGGGAAGGTGAATGAGCCAGGCCGGCTGGCTGGAGAGCCTGGCATGGAGCTCCAGAATCCTGATCCAGACTTCTGGCCTGGACTGGGAGGGGGAGGAGGAAGGCCATCTTTGCCAAAGGCAGGCGTGGCCAAAGGGGTGGCCATAGGGGACACGGCTCCTGGCCGTGGTTTGGAAGTGGGCGTCGAGGGCATGGGCCCAACTGTGGCACGGGGAATAGGGGATACAGCACTGGCAGGGGTGGGGGCCTGTGCTTGGTCCTCTGGGGTCTGGAAGGGGCGCTTGCCCTGTGGGCTACCCCCTGGAGGCAGTTGGGGAGGAGGAACAGGACAGGGGGACGAACCTAGATCATAAGTGAGTAAAACTCAAAACTCAATCACATTTTCTGTTTAAACCAATTTCACACAAACACTGATAGATGTTTCCATACCTGACATCTTGCTGGGGCCATCGGGGTCGGCCCCGGGATGATGGCGTAGGGGTTGGGGCAGACGGGAGGGCTGGGGAATCCTGGATGGTCGACGAGATCCACCCTGGGGTCCTGAAGGGACAGCACTACTCTGGGAGCTACAACCTCCCACTCCAAGAGGAGCACTACTGCTGCTTCCACCCGGAGCTCCCAGGCTGGGCACACATGACCCACCACTGGCCCCCACATGGTTCCTCTGATATTCTATTGGTGAAGTTAGAGCTGTCATAAGGTACAAAAGAGACGAGGGTGGCCATGTTGCAAATGGTATCTTCTCTAAAAGTAATCGTCTGTGCGTGTGTGTGTGTGTGTGTGTGTGTGTGTGTGTGTGTGTGTGTGTGTGTGTGTGTGTGTGTGTGTGTGTGTGTGTGTGTGTGTGTGTGTGTGTGTGTGTGTGTGTGTGTGTGTGTGTGTGTGTGTGTGTGTGTGTGTGTGTGTGTGTAACTGGTCTTACCGTTGAGGAAATTGAGTTGGCTCTCGAGTATCTGGCCTATCTGAAGGGTCCAGACCTCACGCACCCCTTGGTGGGATGAGTGAAGCACAAAGGACTCCACGGTGCTGTTTGTCGACCGGGAAGTGAGAATGAACTTGCAGGGATCCCCTTCAACGTCCTCCTCCAGACCCAAACAGCTCACCTGTGCAAAAAGAAACAGAAGTGTGGATTACATTTCATTACATATTTCTGTATTCTGTTAGAACTGAGCTTTCACTACTGTATCTATTGGTACATTCATTCTTCCTGCCTTGCTCTTTGTATAATGACAAAGGTTCTTAAGTCAGGACATGGTAAACATTGTTTTTTAGCACTTCTTCTTTATCTTTCTACAAAATCCCATAAAAGGACATCAGGGGAGCAGCAGCCACAGTTTTAGCTAATTACATTGAATAACAAAGAGTTGAACCTTTTATGGCAGTACTAATGACAGAATCCCAAAGTAACATATCATTAAACAGTTTCATTATTAAATCCAAACAAAACATTTTCCTATCTTTGGTATTTCTTGGAACTAAAAGACAACTACCCACAAAACGTTTGCTTCAACCAGTTGACGATAACTTAAAGAAAAGGCTCCAATACAGCTGAAACCTGTGAAACATGACATTCCTAGAGATTCGCTTGAATACGAATTCATGTTTCACAGGTTTCAGTTTCTCCACCAGAGGGCGCTAAAGGCCTTTTTTTTTCCCCCCTGCTAGCTATTCACACACCCTTATTTCCACTGGCCTTCACTGATAATGTATTTGCTCATCCTTGCACCGCACAGTCTGCATGTTTTGTTACCTTGATGCTGTTTTTGTAGAGGAAGCCTGGCAAAGAGAAACCTTTCTTCTTGTCAAGGGGCTCGCTGAAGATGACCATCTGCTCAAACAAAAAGACTCTCCTCTCCTTCATCCGGCCAAGCAGGCTGCCCTCAGGGTCACACACCATGAACGTGTCCTGCAACAAAAGGCGGCCCTGAGCCACGATCTTCCCCTGGGGGAAGACAAGAAAAAGATGGAAATGGGGCAAATCAGTTGTAGAAATAAAGGGAGGGATGGCATTGCAGGCAAATTAAGTGATGCGAGAGATTTTCTGTTAGTAAGAAGGGGGCGGCTGAGGCTCAGTCATATTTCAACTGGAAGGTTGAGGGTTTGATCCCAAGCTACTGAGTCACTGGGCAAGACACTGAATTGCTCCTGCTGCTATGTCAGCAGCACGTGAATGGAGTAGTACTGTTAGGTGGTTGGGCACTTTACCATTGGAGCCTCTGCTACGTAGCACATCACACCACATTCACATTGTGTCGACGTGTTGTGAACGTAGTCTTCTAAACTAGTCCAAGTCTATTAACCATTTAAGGAAACAGGCTGTGAAGAGTGTGCTGTGTCGATGAGTGCTTTGTTTTTTATTTAATGCAGCGTGATTTCTTACATCAAATCCTTGAAGCCGGCCGACATTCATCATGTCATTACACCTTTTTGGCACGATGCACATGACCTCCACTGCTTTCTGTAAAAAAAAAAAAAAAATGAAAAGAAGGTTAATAGGGGTAGCTCAAAATGTCTGTCTTACTTTTAAGTAAGTCAAAAGCAATGTATCATTCATTGGATTCAAAGGGGCTTTATTGGCATGGGAAACAAAATGTACGTTCACATTGCCAAAGAGGAAGTGAAAATAAAATCATTATCTTACCTCCAACTCCACGGACTCCTGCCCAGCCTTTTTAGAGTGTTTCAGGAAATCCTATGACAGGGAAAAACAATCAACTCAACTATTTACACTTTCTTCATATGAATGTAAGTTGTATTAAGTAGATATTTAAGAAAAGCAGATAGTGAAAGTGATGTTATATATTAAGATGGAAGTTCTAGAAATAAGATTGCAGACAGGTGAGTTAAAGCTCTAGCACCCTCTGTTGTTAAGTAGACCGACCTTAAGTAGCAACTGGTATTTCATGATCCTCTGGACTGGTTTGATGAGCAGGTCTGTGATCTGCAGTCTGTGTCCCAGCCGCTGCTTCAGGTCCTACAGTGCAAAAAAGGTCAGAGTTACTTTAAAAGGTATCTGATGTGTCTTGGGGTGAAATTTTAAAAAATGGTTGTATCTTCATACCTCGAAGTAGGTGTCGATGTACTCTGAGACGACGAGCTCCGACTTGGGCTTGTTCTGACAGTACACCACGTACATGTTGAGTCTCCGCTCCTGCATACAACAAGAACAAGATGTAGTGTCGAAAAACTATTTTCTAAAATCAGAAGAAGCTGGAAATTCAAGGTGGACAAACCTGTTTGAGAAAGAGTGGTCCCAGTCTGTCAGGGTCCTCCAGACATTTCTCCAACTCTCCAAGAAAGAAACTGTACGAGACAAAAAACCGAAGACAAGAGGTTAAGTGACTGCACAAGACAATCTGCACGGGATAAACTCGTGCACTTTTCCACATACTCTCTGTGCCAGTCGTAGATCTGATGGATGTTTCCAAAAACGATTTTGTCTTTTCCTTTCATGTCGTCAGGGACACCCTCCTCCTTCATCCGGCACATGTAGCCCTTATGATGCAGACAGACATATGAATCAAAACAAATTTGCAACAGGGGAGTCTGTGAGCAAAACACATTTTAGTTATTTCAGTGACATTTTAAAAAGGATTAAATAAGATGTACTTCTATCAGAAACAAATCAGATGGAGTTACTTCATAGGATTATCAAAGAATACAGACATACCAACATGTTCAAAAATAACATAATAAAAAACATATATTGTTCCAGATCCTTCACACAGTTCAATAATGTACAACCAAATGAGCAGCTCATAAAACATGTACTCACCTCCACCACTAGGCCCAGGTCTCTTACATAATCTCTCTCCGTCTCCACCAACTCCAGCAGAATGAAGCTACAGCAACGAGGAAACAGACGTCAAGTTAAAATTCAAGAATATAGTGTAAAAAAAAAAAAACAATCACCAAGAATTCTCAGAACACCTGGTTGCATTTGTGAGACAAAAGCAGACATACTGTCTTTTCTTGAGGACGCTGGTCCTGCGTTCGTCCATCTCTTCCATCGGGGAGGACGAGGAGAGGAGGGAGTTGTCAGAGGGGTTGAAGGAAGGGGAGCTGCTGTCCCCCCGTTCTACCGACAGCGAGCTGGGTCTGTCCTCCAAAGCCTGCACCAGAGAAGAGCAGACTATAAACTGAAGAATTGGAAAAGAGAGCACACAAATGGCCAATAGTCTGCATGTTTCAAAGGGAAGCGAGAGGACATATTAAATCCCCTGATTTGCACACATGAAGTTGACTCAATGAGATTGATGTATGTATATGTAAACATCTTTAGCCATTCACATGCTAATGAGTCACAAGATAAGCACCTTGTTAAAACACAGAACGGATATGAGAATGCAGTATAACACCATATTCAGCTACATTAAATGTCTTTGAGCCACACTCAGGTGATCTAAGCTAAATCAAACTGATAAGATAAAAAAAAAGGGATGCATTCGTTTCAGTGCACTCCTGTCTCCTACCATCTTGCTTTTGACCAGCTCCTCGATGGCGCTCACCAACTCCGCAGCACTGGGCGTCTCTGAACTGGATGGACGGACTGACAGACGCGAAGAGGTCTGGATAATGACACAGATTAAAGGGTTGAGGGAGGGGGAAAAAAAGAGTATTAGAAGTGGATTATGCATACAGTGGAAACACATTTCTGCTGACTGGTGTCAGTTCAGCTTTTCTTAGAATATAGTTGAGTTTGAAGTAATCAGACAATTATAACTGATACAAAGCTCTACTTTCTTTAAGTTAAGCTTGTTAACAACAGTTCTTTAATCTCAACAATAGATAATGAATACTTAATTATTTAACATAAATGTTTCCAGGCCATGAAACCCATGTGTGTGCACCCACATGTGATTGAAAAAAAAAAAAATGGAAAGATAAAGATAAAGCTAAATATTAGTTTATGGTCCAAGGTCATGACTAAGATTTGGTTCAGTTATTAAGATTTGTTTTAGTTACTTGAGTGATTAATGACTTTGTGAAAAGTGTTGATCGTTCAATGCTGTAACTATGAGTGGGATCCAAAAAGAAGGAAGTGAAAAGGAAAAGTAAATGAAAGTTATTTAAAATAAATGAAAAGTTAAAAACTCCAGGCTGAAAGTGGAAGATATGGGAAAAAAGTATTCAGTAAAAAGAAAATGGAGGTTTGTGGGGGGAAAAAGTTATTGAATTGATGTTTGAGATGTTTCAGTTGTTCTCTGAGGTGATGAACAGCCTTTAAAGAAAAAAAAAAAGGATGCTAACACAACAAGAAAGAAAAAGGTAAATGTATGTATATACAGTTGAGGAGACTCTCACCCTTGCTGTGCTGTGCTTCAAGACTTTCCCCAATTAGGAATCTGGGTGAGGCTGTGTGCCCTTCTGGCCTCGCCAGCATTTAGAGATGCCAATTACTCGCATGGTTAATGAGGTTAACGCACAGAGGGTAAAAGGGAGATGAGGACGAGCGAGCAGGGTGGGTGAGGGAGGGGGTTGGAGGGTGATGGGAACAAGAGGGCTTTTGAATTTACACCTCAGTGAGGGCTCACATTCAGATTATCATCGGGGGGGGGGGAGGGGGCTGCTTGCTCAGCTGACAGAGAATCCTACAGACGTTACTCTTTTGTATCGATATGGGAACTTTTTGAAACTTCACATAGCAATCGACCTTTTCCCATTCTATGACGGATAAACATGCAGAGAAACATTTGAAGTCTTGTGTTATTCCAACAGGCTCAAGGCAAAGCAAAATACAAAAGTTGATGTCTATTCAAGAAATCCGGTCTGCACTAACACTGGCAGACAGCACCTTAACAATTCCCTCTAGTTAAAGAGACACATGCATCCTCCTCTTTTTTCAACATTTTCATGTACTGTCAGTTATTATTCAGTTATTTGCCACGGGTCTCTGCATTAAAGTTGTTTTTGTTGTCGAGACGGCAGAAAGCGCAAGTCAATTTGAGGGCATAAAAAATGGAAGTAAGGAAAAGTTCTGCTCAAAGAAATGCAGGAAGGTTTAAAGTGAGTTCAGAAACCATATAAAAGTTAGGAAGAGTGACTTGTAGAGGTAAGAAAAATGTGTCATTTCAAAGTAAGAAACCTAATTCTAAAGCTGCTAACTTCATTTCAGCTCAATCTAAAAACCGGTGCAGAAACGAAAGAAAAAAGCCTTTAGCAAGGAGCATTTAAAGCTGAAGAGAGGGGGGGGAAAAAAAAGAGAGCTTTGAAGAACTGAGGCAAGAGACGGAGGGGGAAAAAAACGGGGCATTTCAGATGGAGAGGTATGGAAACTGAGACAAAGCAAAGACAGGACATAAATCAAGGTAATGCTACAGTATGGCAAACAGTAAACGATACAATCAGGAAACAAAACAAAAGAGAAAAAAGAAATTAGTGTCAGAGAGGAGTCACCACTTTTATATTGGAGGAGACTTGGCGTGCCTGAAATGTTTCATTGCTTTTCTGCTTCAGAACAGAAGAGAAAAATTTGATGCAGCATGCCGAGATCAAATGTTATGCATAACAGAAACTAAAGAGTCACTTGAAACTGTGTCAGGAAATGCCCTTTTTAAGAAACGTGAGAGAGACTGAAATGAGAGAAAAGTAACCTACAACCACTAAGAAGCATAAGAGCAATGAGGAGGAAGAGAACCAGAGTAGAACATGTATCAGTAGACTTTCATTTTAATATATGGAGCTTTTTTTTTAACCTCAGGGGGCACACTTGTTCCTAAATTCAAAAATACACAATGTATCATCCTATGGAAATTAACTCTTGCAGTATAACCTCTTCAAACTTTGACCATCTTGGTTAAATAGTTCAAGTCACTAATAACCTGTAACATTTCTTACTCCTAACATATGAACACCTAGAGCTGTCTCCCATCCTACTGTTAACTCTCAGAAATGGCTTCCACAGTAAAACCTGAAAGAGTTAATAAGACTAACCTTCCTACACTCAAAGGAGTTTAATAGTTGGCTTACTATTTTTAAAGAAATGCTTATGGTATGCAGAAAACACTGCTCACTGCTAACATCATATGTTTCTGTAGTAGAAGGGATAAAACATTATACTACTGTCTCCACAAAGCTGTAAAAATAGAGTCATCCTCTAGAGACTCTTTGAAATAGGACTGGAAGAAAGGTGGCTACATTTAATATCAGCTAACTCATGAAAAAAAAAAACCCCCTGTATTCACAAGGTGGACAAAGTAACGAGTCGGAGGCTTTAAAATCCTATGAGTAAAATTCAGAGAAGCAAACAGAATTTGGTCTTTTGAATTTACTGCATGATGGTTTTACAGTTTTCTCAGCGATTATTCCTTTCTCTTTGAAAATTCTTATTCTTAACCGTTTTCCGACCACTACAAAGAAGACATAAAGACCACACAAATCATAACAATTAAGTTAATTTTACATTTTGTATCTTCCCTGATAGCATACATGCTCATCAATATATACATTCTTCTTGGCATATTCCAAACAGCAGGATTAAACTTGTGATCTTCAATTTAAATAAACTACCCTGAAGCAACTTTGGAGTACCAGAAAATGTTAGTTAAATACAGTTTGTGTCCCCGTCAGAAATCATGTATTCTGTCACTCCTAAAGTCCCCTCTCCTCTTCTGCTCATCCTCTTTGCCTGACTCTGTCCTATTTCCCTGACCCCTCGTCTCTCTTCTGTCCCCACTGCTACCTCCTCCCTCTCCTCACCTTGTCGTCCTGTGAGTCCGGCTGCAGCAGGCTGTGCTGCTGGATGGCCATGGGTGGAGGCAGAGGTACAGAGTCAGCTCCCTCCTCCCCCTCCTCCTCTCCGCAGCTCTGCATCCCTGAAGAGCTGGACTTAGACAATGTGCCGCTGGACAATCCCTCATTGCGAACCCTCTGCAAACACAAGCACAGAAGTTGAGATGAATTCATGATCAATGACTGAACTGCTCAATCAAGAGTGTATCATTTGAGATATTTTGTAGTCCGCCGACCTCCTCCACAGTCTCGTCCTGAGGAGTAGCAGCGCTGTCATCCGAGTCTTTCTGGGACCCCATCGTCATCTCCCCGCTCTTCCTTATGTCACGACTCTTCTTGTGTTTGTGGGCCAGTTTCTTCACATGGCCGTCTGCCTTGCCGCTGCTTAGCCGGCGCACTGGGCTAGTAAGCCACTTCCGCAGGGTGTTACCTTGAAAATCAGCCAAACACATAAAACTCAGTTTGCCATCTGTATGGAGGAGTATTCAAAGCACGGAAAGTAAACTTCTTTTCAACTTTTACATTTAAGACTCTCTGCCAAGAACAACAGTTGACCTTCTTTTTCAAATAAAGAAGAGTTCAGCACAATCAATTCATAGTGCCAAAACATGATATAGTACATTTTAAAACACCTAGAACCACCCACTCAAGAAGTAGCTGTACTTAACCGCAGTATTTTTCTGGACACCTGATAAAAAGAGTTGTTTTTTTTAAGTTTTCATGGGATGAATGAGAGTAGATGAAACAGACAGTATAGGTGACAATACCTGGTCGTTTAGGCCCTGGTGAGGTGTGGGAGCCAAGGCCGTGACCTGGCTGGAGCGTGGCAGATGACCCCGGCATGATGGAGTCATTGCTGCACACTGACAAAGTGTCTGTGAAGACAAAAGGATTTGATGGTTTAGGATTTGCTTTATGGTGCAGTGTAACCACAAGAATCTAAACATTTCTTCCAATGCTCCAGTACCTTTGTGGTTGAAGATGCCCTCCATCTCCATAGATGACCTGGAGTGGGCGATGCAGAGCATGGCGCAGGGCACCAGACCCTCCATGGCAGGGGAACGATCGGTGGTCCTAACAAGGCACCAGTCTGGTCTTTCATGGCAGCGCTCCAGTACCTCCACTGTCTGACAGCGCCGTACAGTCAGCTCGTTGCTGTTGCTGGCCATGAAGTCATGGATCACCACGGTGAGTTCACAGCCACCGGAGAGCTGAGGGAGAAAGGATTGTCTTTATGATTCTGTTTGGGGAAACTGGACGTTTTCTTCTAACTTCAGAACATGTGTGGTAAGGACACCAGTTCGAGTGATAGGTGTGTGTTTGGGTGTGTTGGCTGACCTTGTCACTGTCCAGTGTGTTTTGTGAAGTCCTGGATGCCAGAGAGATGGTGTCTGGTTGGCTGCTGCCTTCACCCTGACTGTCCAGGTCCTCTCCATCCCTGATCGAAAACACACATGATCAATACAAGATGGAAATCTGTGTGAAAGTGATTTAATACTAACTAATCTCTCTTTCACTTTGGAAAAGCCACAGGAAATAAACTTAGGACTTCCAGTAATAGCAGATGTCACGTTCACCTTCGTCCCTTGTGGTGCTTTGCTGTGGTCGCTTTGGGAATATGAATGGGCTCCTTCAGCGCTCCTCTCAGGTGAATGGTGCGCTCCTGAATGACCTCCCTGATGTGTTTGATCCAGTCCTGCTTGTTCTCTATGCTCGACGCCTGTTATTGATGAAGAAGTGAACAAGTTCAAGAAGTCAAAAGCTGTGAGGAAAGCAGCTTCCCTTGGAATTCTTGTTTCACTCTGTGTTTCGCACAAGTCTGAACTACTTCTTGTCATCTCTTATCAACTGAAGGAATCTTTCTGATAGATCAAATTTTACACGAGCCCAGTCGAGCAGTGCCTCCATGGAACATCATTTCCCAACGTGTTTTCAGCCACACCGCCAAAGCCCTCTCAGATCACCAAATTATTTCCATGTGTACAGCGCCAATTCATGATTAATGTTATCTCAAGACATTTTACATGAAGAGCAAGTCTAAACCACTCTTTGATGATGAGCTCAAGTATTACTTCACTGACACCATTTCTTCATTTGATCAGTTTGTTACTATGATGCTGTTGCATATGAACTGTCAGTGTTTGCTTCAGTTTGGATTGCACTTACAACACTTCGGGCACAGGCTTGACATAAGTTTGAATGATCTTGAGCAACTTTAAGCTATCAATATTTTATTTTCTCACTATGCGCATTAGGCCGTTTATCTATTAGTCTTCTTTTAACTAGCATTAGTTATTGAAACTACATTGACCAGTTTCACTAATTCAACCAAATATGCACGCCTTACTTTACCCCTGAGTTTTCCCGGTAGACATCACTCGTCTGTAGCGAGAGAGAAAAAAAAAAGCAGAGCTGTGCAAAAGTTTTGTTCTACGCTGGAGGTGGAGTCCAAGGGTGGAGAAACCAGAATCCCACTGTGACATCACAAGTTGAGCAAATTTGAAACGGAGCATTTTTCTCAGTGTTGTAAGATTTATGCAGATCGCAAGAAAAGCACTGGATGAGTTTATTTCACATTTTGTGGGTCAGTAGACACTCAGGTTACCCAAAAAATATATGATTAAAAACACTGTAAAAGTGGATTTTCACAATATGTTCCCTTTAACTTTCTTTTCCATTTTTTAAAGTTACCTTTAGCCAACCTTTTTTTTAACTGTTTGTCAGTTACAGCTGCCAATTAAAACAATGTAATGCAATGATTTTCAAGCATTTTGTCATTTATACTTTATTTATAAATTAGGACAGTTTAGCTTTTATTAATATCTTTTAGCTAACTATTGGTTAATGGTAAATGGACTTGAGCTTGTAGAGTGCTTTTCAAGTCTTCTGACTTCTGGAAGTACTTTTTACTTCAAGCATTTCTACATATCTGGTAGCTGAACTTACTATTTAGACTTCTCTTCTCACTTGCTAATCAGTTGTCATAAACTCTAAATTGTATCCAAAGTGTTCAGGTGTTACATCAAACTCTTTTCAGATTGAGAGATTAAACACTGTTTCCCACATGTCCCTTGACTACTTGAGCAGCGAATCCCAACTCGCTGCTATAACAGTTAAGCTCAATATATAATCTTCCAGCCTCCCAGTTTTGGCACAAGTAGAAATTGGGTTTTTGCTTTGGCTCACACTCTTCTTTTTGCCATTATATAACCCTCGAAAGATTCTGTTCACGAAGAAGAGAGGACATGAAGTGTATGTGTTTCAGACTTGTGGGAAGTGGCTGAGGGCTGTGTTGTAGGATAGTTTGTACTCACCATCGCTCCGTGTTTGGATCCCTGACTTAGCTTTGAATTTAAAATATAAAATAGAGAATTTCACTGGTTTGGTTTAGAAGATGTACATAACAATTTTTGACAGGATAGACACAAACAACACTGATCATTTGCACTAACAGTTGACTGTTGGCCAATTAAATAAGCATATTGTAATGGTGTGAGTGTGTGTGTGTGAGCAAGAGAGGACGTGTGTAGTTAGTAAAGAGACACTTCATTAACAATACACCACATGACTGCTTCTCAGTGGTTAGTTTGGTATTTGACATGTGTTAAAAATGTTTAATGTTCAGAGTTTAACGTGTTAGGATTCATGCTGTTCCAAACTGCTGACACAAATCTGTATCCATCTGTGACTGTTTCCACAGGAAAACACAAGATGTCGGAAAAACTGGGCCAATAAAAATCCGCCCGCGGATCTAAAGAAATTGAAGTCACATCTTTCTTATACAATGGCACTCAAACCATTAAAAAGTGTATTTTTCTGGTGGAGAAAGATGGCTCCTCGTCACTTCAATAAAGTGGCACAGAGCCAAGATGGGAGATAGTGGGCGTTAAGGGGTTGAAGTCAGTGTCAGCAGCGTTGGTGGAAGCATGTCAGCCCACAGAGAGAATTAGAGATACAAACATCCACAGGAAAAAAAACACAGCCCCAGATATACAAATGTGCCTGTGTTTGTTAAAAGATGGAATAAAGCAGAAACAGAGGCTGACAGACAGAGAGAGAGACAGAAGACAGAGAGAAAGATGTTTGATTTGAGAAAGACAAGGACTTCAAGGAGAAAGAGAAAAGCTGTGACTAAAGGAAGATTTTCTTTGGCCACCTTGAAGCTGCTCATGCAATCTAACAAGACATGAGAGAGGAAGGGTAAAAGAAGAAAGGTAGGAGAGGGTTCAATAGGACATCCAATATACTAATATGGATGTTTTTGTTATCATTTTAATATTTAAAGCTGTTGGTATCTATATCTAAACAATGCATGTTCAGGGATGTGACTGGCATCAGACAACGAAGCAGGAAACCTGTCAGCAACGTTCCTCCAGCTGTAGGCTGAATACAAGAAGCCTGTGTGATGACTTTTAGTGATTATATAACATGGCTGGGATTACCCCGACACACGATTAAGAATGTGATTGATTTCGGTTTATCTTTTGTTGGTGTTTTAACAGGATGTTGATTTTGATAAGGTTTTAGTGACAGACACAGAGCGTCCACGTTACTATAGCAACTCACTTACTCCTGCCCCCCATGCAAAAGAGAGAGAGAGAGAGACACAGATGCTGTGCTGCTGACTGAGCGCTTTGAGTTGCATGCACAAACAAATATTTTTCCTTCGGCTACCGAGCAGTGGACTTAAGAGACATCAAAGCTGGTCGAATTTGATCAAACTTTAATTAACACAAAGCCTTTTTGTGCATTTAGCTTGTCGCTAATGGCGTATCTCATTGTGAAGTTCATGAACAGCTTGCACATAAACACAAACAGCTAACATGGCTCACTGCTTTCAATTTTGAAGCATGTTTGGTTGAAGCTCAACATTAGCATCGATACCTGGAAATGAAAAGTATCATCACTCACTTTAGTCTGTGGATGTCCTGAAACTCTCATTTCCCAGATCAGCTTCCTACCTACTACTTTGATGATGTATTTTTAAGTATATTGCTGATTCACGTGGGTCACCCCTTCATGTCAGAAAATCCTGAATTTATCCAGAAGAGTCACATCCCTGAATGTTACTATCTTGGGTTGAAGACTTTTCTTTCTAAGTCATTTCAAGGTTCTGCTTTTGAAAACCTGTATCGGTTCCTACACTAAATCAGATTTGAGAGGAAATAGATGAGTGGAAGTGTATTTTACCTTGAGCACAATCTTGTTGTCAGAAGTTGGAGTGCGCCCCATCCACAGGGCAAACTTACAGGGGTCTCCTTCGACATGCTCCGTCACCCCCAGCTCTGACGTCTTGAAGGACAGAAGTTGAGAAGATGTCATCTCTAGACGGTTACAAGTTAACTACAGTACAATGGTTGTTTGAAATACAAAGGCTGCTAAACTGGCTTGACTAATAATTTAAGTTAAATGGAACAGTGTTTCGCTAAAATACAATCACTACAGTTGAGACACTGAGCACTAAAAAAGTCTAATGATGTCATCTAAAAATCTAACTTTTCTAAGGCCTGATTGTAAATAGTTCCTCATTCGGTTATTCAAATATACCTCCTTTGACACATTCCAAATAATGACACACTTACAAAGAGTTTGCTCTTGTAGATGTATTTGCTTCTGCCGTTCGAGTCCTTGACCTCCTTGCTGAAGACAAGAGACATTTCAAAGAGGAAGAGATGGCGCTCTCGACCTTTCCGGATCAGAGTCTTGGGATCCCAGACCTGGAATGACTCCTGGAGAATGAGCTCTCCCTGGGACTCAATGTTTTCATCAAAACCTGTAAGTATGGGATATAAAATTAGAGAAAAAAAACACATTGTGGGATTTGAGAGTTGTAATTTTATGTTATTGAAACAAATGAAACAGTGTGTGATTACAGCAACATTATTTGTAAGCGTTGTGTTAATCACCTTCCAGCATTGAGAGATGCATGGCGTCATTGGCTCTCTTAGGAACACTCAGCATCACCTCCAGGCCGTCTTTGATCTCACCTTTACCTTCTTCACAGCATGTCAGCAACTCCTACAACGGACAGACACACGCACTTAAAACATGATAACAATGAAGTATGGGGACAGCCTCCACACCAGTGATACTCTTATCGTCAGGTTACCTTCAGCAGGAGCTGATACTTGGTTATTCTCTGCACAGGCTTGATCAGATATGAAGAGATGGAGTTGGCCAGTCGGTGCCTCTGTTGAATTTCCTGCAAGACAAGAACAGTCGTGATCACATGCAACAAAAAAAAAAGACAAACCAATTTCAATTCAACTGCCATAGACAAATACGTACATCAAAGTAGTTCCCAGCATGCTCCAGGATGAGCTGGGTGGAGTCAGGTTTGTTCTTACAGTAGTTCACATACATCTGGAACTTATCAGCCTACATGAAAGAAGAAAGTTGTTACAATGAAAAGGATACAAATAAAAGATGAAATGATTGGTGGGCTGGAGAAACAGCTTCAGCTGTGGAACAATTGCTACGTACCCATGTGACAAAGCAATGACCCACATCCTCTGGAAGCTGCTCATATTTCTCCAACTCTTTGAGAAAGATGCTGAGAAAACAAATGATAAGAGATTGAAAAGTGGGTAACAGCAAAGGCACACAAACTCTACAAAATGAACATTAATATTCCAAAATGAAAAATAAAACCATTTATCTCTAAAACATAGCAACTGAGGAATAACTTTACACAGATATGAGAAACCTCCATTTGAATGAAGAGAGTACAGGACTCGCATCAGTCTGGTTTGACCCAGCTGTAACTGCTTACAAGCCTAGTTTGAATTATTTCCAAGAAATGTAAATACTTAATGATGTTCTTACTTATGGTGGAATTCATAAAGGTCCTGCATGTTTCCGAAGATGATGTGCTCCTTGTTGATGATTCCTGGAGGAATCTCCTCCACACCGCTCGTCATCTCCCACAGGTAGGTCTTCACGCAGAGAAGATTGAAAAAGGAAGAACAAACCAAATTTAAAAAAAAATAAAAAATCTTCAACAGAGCCCTCAAATGTTGCACAACTCTGGCATGCAACAGGTTAACAGTGGTGGGTTGGAAAGTTGGACTTACATCCATGCACTCCCGCAGGTCCCGCACGTAGGCTTTTTCTGTCTGAATCAGCTCTGCCATGATGAACCTAGACTCACACAGACACAAGCATACAATTAGCAGTTTTCATAGTGTCCTTATCCGCAGAATAATTAATCCCCAAGCCAAAAGCTCTGTATCACCCTTTCTGCTTCATCCATTTACTCTAATGAATAATGAAAGAGCTACAGACTATAAAACACGCTCATAAACCCGCCATGAATGCTTGAACTCAAGCTCTCGGTTTGAGCTGCTCATGTGAAATGATGCAGCTTCCCCCTCCTGTATACTACACGAATGTTCATTTGTTTCATTTAGCTTGAATTGTGTCTGCAGTTCTTGTGCTGAAGCAGCCAAAAAATGGTGATGTGGGGGACAACGTCTACTATTTTTGTTGCGTGTGCTTAACTCACTGTTCTGTTAACAGAACCACTTAAAACAATTGAGCAAGTCGGGTTCCCCGTTGACAAGGATACTAATGGGTCAAATAACTGAACATGTGACCTTCTGAAAACAGACCATCTGAGTAACCATAAGGCTGCTCTGCAGTGCAGTTTAGGCCTTTAGCTGATTATTCAATTTCTCGTCCTGAGGGGCAATAAAACATATTTCCAACAGGGGGGGAAAAAAATCAGCAAAAGTGGTGACTCGCTACTTTTTCTTTGGTATAGCACGTACTACTTTGTCTATGGAGGCCAGATTCTTCACAGTTTTGTTATGCAAAACCTGAATTGATATTTAAATCTGGAAAACGATGTAGACCATGTGTGTTTTTCTGAAAAGTTGTTCTTCACATACAAAACCTGCTTAACCTGTTTTTCTAACAGCTAACAGCAAAAACAAGAAAGCAGTGACTTACTCTTTTCTGCGCGCTGACTTGCGTTTCTCCTCATTCAGCTCGTGAGCAGCATCACGCAGCTTGACCTCTGATCCTGGAGCCGTGGCTGGGATGATGTCCAACTGCAGATCCTTACTCTGCATCAGACAGAGGCCACGAAAAAAGTCATTTAATAATCAAAACCAAGAAAGTGGTAATAACAATTAGCTGATATTCTACACCTGTAATACTGCAGCAACAACAACAACAACACAATGCCAACTTACAGCCTTATTAGAGTCCGAGGAGATGCCCAGGGCTTTCTCCAGGCTGCAGCGGTACTTGTCCATGCGCAGGGAGAAGTCTCTGTAGCGTTTATCCACAGCAGTCACCCATTTTTTTATCTCCCCAGCATGGCTGTGGCCTTTCTCACAGAAGCCGTCAGCCAGCTGGATCAGCAGCTTCACACGCTCCTTAGTTTGCTGTGAGGAGAGTGGAAAAGAGAGTGTTAAATGCACACACACACATCAAACACTCAAGTGATATGCTTTGCTTGTGTGTGTGTGTGTGTGTGTGTGTGTGTGTGTGTGTGTGTGTGTGTGTGTGTGTGTGTGTGTGTGTGTGTGTGTGTGTGTGTGTGTGTGTGACTAACCCTGGCTGTGATGTGGAAGTCTTCATGCTCCTTAAGCAGTTCCTGTGTGTGATGGATACTTGAGCCAGTGGAGGTGTGTGTGGACAGATAAAACTCTCCAGTGTCATGAATCCATTCCAGAGCCTGAAAACACAAAAAACACATGGGATTCATGTGCTGCCAGGTCACACGACATCGAGAGGATTGTATGCGCTGTTATAGCACTTCAACTTTACTGTGTGTGTGCGCGCGAGTGTGTGTTTCATGTACCTGTTTGGCACTGCGCTCAAACACCACATACTGCTGACACTGGTCCAGCCGTCGTTTTCTCATGGTCCAGAAGTGGAGAACACGATTTTCTCTCTGCAGCAGCTCATTGAGGATGTCTTTATAAAACACACAAGACAATTAAAATCCAGGTATTCAGCACCCAAATACTCCCACCTTACGTTGCCGTGCCCATGGAAAAAACACATTCTATTCCTATACTTGAGACAAATGATTTAGAGATTTGAATCATTCGTTTGAGCTTATTATTTCAACTGTTTATCAATTACTTCCAGCCACACATTATCACGTCTTATCAGAGATTAAAGCTACCTTTTTTAAACTGCGCCTACATCATCACTATTTTACTGTTTGAGCATTTCTTCATGCAGTGTCAAAGGGAAGTGAAGGGGACAGTGTACGTTCTGCTACTTACTTTTGACTTGCTGTTCTGGTGCTTTGACGTGGCTCAGCATCCCGGGCATGTTCACACTGTTCCTGTGCATGTACTTTAGGAAGACGTCCGCATTTCTCCTGGCCAAAGTGCAGGCCTGACAGAAGGATTAAGAAACACATCATGAGATCACAGATAGAACTTGATATAATGATTATGAGTTGTTTTTTTTTTTTTATTTGTTTGTACGTTACCTTGAGGAAAGCCTCCTTCTGCTCCAGATGTTTACTGATCATGGGGCTGACATGGTCCGTTTCACAGTTGGGTCCCAGTTTGTCTGCTCCTCCGCACCAGTCCTCCTCTCTCTTATACTCCTGCTCCAGGCTCTCCAAAACGCTGCAGACCTGCGGGAAACAAATACACTTGGTTTGGTTGTCTGGAAACACACTGAACTCGGTTTTAGGAATGACGATGCACTCTCCAAGGGGTCTGCTACCTGTTCAGAGGTCTTGTAAAAGGCTACTGAGGCATTGACAAGCTTGAGTCGGTCTTCCATTTTTAGCATAAGCTGCTGCCAGTGGGAGGCCACGCTCTCCGCACAGTCTCTGATCAGGTCCATGTCGTAGTGGTTTGCCTGGAGCAGAGCCTCTGCCTTCTGCTGAACCTGCAGGGCGTTCTGGTGGGTTTTCTGAACAAAGAGGGCAGAGGTGCAGAATGGAAAAGGTTTAGAAACGGCCAAAATACTGAGCATCTAAGTTAAGTTTCAGACTAAGAAGCTGAGGGGATGATTAAACACGCTCTCACCTCAATGGCATGCTGAAACTGTTCATGTTCTCTCTGTAGCTGTTCGGCCTCCTGCAGTGAGCTGGCTGTTATTAATCCAGCATTCAGCATTGACTCGCCGTTACGAATCCAGCCCAAAACCTGGAAAAACAGTCAAAGTTGCAATCAAATGTTTACCAATCCCACACTATTTAATTCAATCTTTAACTTAAAGATATCCTGTCGTTGCAAATTCTCAGCCTGCAGATGGCGCCTCTGGCAGGTCTGTGCGTACCTGTTTGACTTCAGCTTGCAGGTGTCTCAGCTGGACGCACTGCTCCAGGTGTCTGCGGTGCTGCTCGGCCGCCAAGTCCAGCTCTTGCTGCTTCTCATGGAGAAATTCCAGCAGGTCCTGAACCCGAGTAGCCATGTCGACGTCTCGGTCACACAGCAGCTCTACACCTGCAGGCAGCACACAGTAAGTTTAACTTTCGATCGCTACAGAAGAAACGTTAATCAAATTTGCTGCGGTTATGTCTAATCCTGCCGTACTGCAACTTATTTTTTATTAGCGTCAATATTTTTTTACAGTCTCAAATATGACTCACATTCAAATCCGTCTTGCAAAGCTAACGTCCTTTATTCTATAACTGTTTCAACAAAAAAATTGTCTGTATGTTTCAATACACGTGGCATGATGTAACAATACTTTGTGCGGCTTTAGAGAGCACCTATTAGCATGCAAGATCACAGGTGAGTTATTATGGTTCGTGAGTGGGTGCCTCTCATCACAAACACTGACTGAATCTGACCCGTGACACCTACACAGTATCAATATTATACTAATGCGGCCAACACAGAAATCTGTGCAGCACAAATGAACAGGAGCCGCATTTTCGCTTTCACTCTCCACTGAATGATGTCGGATACCTGCTGTGCTAGCCAGGCGACAGTCAAACATCTCTTCACTTCTACTTCAAAGCCTTTCAGATATAATAGCTTAAAATGGCAGGATGCAAGTAGGACAGATACTGAAGAGCAAAATGTTTGAAGATTTTTAAAATACTATCCAAGAAGAGCTTCTGATATTGTTAAGCATTTAAAAGATAACGTATAGGAATTAAAAGAAAGCCAGTCGCAAATAACGGAAAAAAGCAAACAAGGATTCAAAAGCAAACAAAAGTTCAATGAAAACGAACACAATGGAGTTGATTCTATTTACTGACATGCATTTACCAATAGCTACTGTAGATGGTAAACTGTTGTACATACATATAAATACAATACAATACTTTATTGTCCCCCAGGGGGGAAATTTGTTTTCACAGCTTTGCACGGTTGGTACACATGAAGAAAACATGTAAGAGTAAGTAGAAACATATAACACAGGTAGAAAACACATAACAAAGAAGGGGAAAGCTTGTTTAGAGCTTCAGTCGCTGAGGGGGGTCAAAGCTCTTTGAAAAGCGTGCCCTGGAGGTCAGGGTTGCAGGTCAGGGTTCTATATCTCCGACACGACGGCAAAAAAGAAAAGAGTGAATGGGGTGGTTGAGTTGGGTCTTGGGCTATGGTGAGTACTCTGTGAGGCAGGGCTCTGTAGTTGAGCTGTGAGAGGGGTTTTGGACATTAAATGTCTGGGTAGTGGACTCACCAGAGGACTGGACTTCGTTGACGTACTGCAGCAGCTCCTGTCCCTGGTGGATGACATCGAAGGTGAGGTTGTTCATCGTCAGGGCCTTGTCAGCGTGGTGCTGAAGCCTCTGTTCCGCTACGGTCAAGTCCTCCGTGTCAAACTCGTTCATCTGACCCGTCAGCTCCTCATTCCAGGATTCTAGGTCAGAGATGATCTGAGGATGGATAATAACAATCCACAAATGAGTATTTACTATCCATGCTGAAAGAATACAAGACCACCCCCCTCTTTCCTTCCCCCTCATCCTCATCCTCAGGCAAACTCACATCAATGGCGTCTCTTTCAAAGATCCGCAGTTGCAGGAAGAGCTCCAATTTGATCTTCCTTTCCTGGAAGAGCTCCTCCATCTGGGCCTGGGCCTCATCCAGCTGCTGCAGGACACTCTCGATGTGGTTGATGGAGCTGTTGTGGGGCGTCTTGTTGCTGGAGATGGCCGAGTCCCTGGAAGAGAAACACACAAATAAAGCGCCTATGCATTTTAAAAACAGTTCTACAGACACGGTTAGGCATGATGCCAAGCACACTACTCTGAAGAGGGCTGCACAGCACAGCCTGCAGAAGCATATTGGACTGTGGAACAGAGAAGTTGTTGGAACCTAAAATGGCAGCTCATGTTTTTGATAAATTGGGAAAAGTGATGCCTGAAATAAACACGATTTCTCCTTAAGAATGTTCATCTGAAAACGGATTCTTCTTCTTGACTTTAAATCCTTTTTTGGCTTTTGTTCACTTCATTTCTATTTAGTTAAAAAAACAAAAAAAAAAACAGTTTTTGTGTGTAATACTTCTTTTGTGTTTAGATTTACAAGATACATTTTGTAAAATATTTAAAAACAATACAGGGGTTCAATCTGTGGTTACAGCCCCCACCCCCCCTCCCATAATTAGATTTCTATATTTTTCTTATAAATGTGTTATTGTATGAACCTCTGGTTACCTCTATTACTTCAACATTGTAAACTTCTGTATCACAAGGATTTCCCTTGATGTCAAGATGAAATCTCTTGTTGATATATATTACTTTTAGTGAATCACATTTTCAACAACATCTATTCAGACTACTCCATGCTTTGGTGGGGGTTTTTCATGCTCATTTTTCTTAGCCTTTGGAGGAAGAATGTGATCCAGTAGATGTCGCCCTTGAGCACCAGCATGAAACCAAAACAAACTGCTGTTTAGAGCGACACCTCCGCTATTCTGAAGCCTCCGCTCTGCTCCAGAGACACACCTCCAACCCCTCTCCACTCGCAATCCCAGGAAGGAGATCTCAATAAGAACGCACCATAATTAAGCACTATTAAGTGCAAGTGGCGGCAAAAATTGTCCTTTGCTCAAGCTGCAATCGCCTGTGGTCTGCATTGTTGTGTTAGCAGGCTAATGTTAGCACACTCTGATTAACTCATAGCTTCATATTGCACATACAATGACACAGAATGACTGTGATCTAAAGAAACTAAGCATCCAAATAAGCCGTGAGTATGCTAAATACTTTTGATTGTATAATATATTCCTCTTTTCACCAGTCCTTGTCTTAAACAGATATATATGCAAGGTGGTCTGTCCGTGTAAACATGAAATAAACACGGCTCTGACAACAATACAGCCAGCGGACTCGGGCTTCTCACTCATTGTACAAAGTCATGACTATGAGAGACACTTAGAGAGGACATACTTGATTTCTGCTGTATTTATATGTAAAATGTCACACATTCTTTCTTCAAGAAATCAGTAACACTGATCAAAGCCATCTAATGGGGGATTGATAACATCTTTCTATGTATATCTAAGGATATCTAAACTTTAGTAAAAAGTCTGTCAGGGTTTAACACCTGTGGGAAAATGGTTGGCAGAGTCAGAGTTAATACTGTGTGTGAAAAGTGAAGCTGTTTATATAGATCACAGGTTCATCAATCTGACATCCTGCATGAGTCATGATCAGACACCAGCGAGGTATTGAGAGGCTAAATATGAGTAAGCAGTGACAGTGGAGGTCAGAAACATTCAAAGTGTCTTCTTTCTAGTTGACTGAGCAGTTTGAAAGATGCACATCCAACACTTCAATTCTTGATCACACGTGCTCGCACAGTGTCACTCACATTGGACAAAAAGGTGTAGACTTACAGATGCCTCCTGGGGAGACTGTCACACAATTATGCACGCGATTATACAAACAGAATTATGTAAGACTTCACTTCTGAGCCAACACACCAGGGAGAGAGGGATGGAGAGAAACGAGAGAGTGTGGAAGGGTGAACAAAGGGGGTGGATGAAGAGGAATGAAGAAGAGGGACTGGAACAGCGTCAGTATGAAAATAGAGCGAGACAATGACAGTCAACTGCATCCACCTCTCCAAAACCTCCCGTCCTTTCAGCTGTCTCTTTTAGTTTGTATGCATCTTCTTAATAATGACACAACCTGAATTTTTTTTCACATTTACATATTCATAAGAATGTTTATTCCCAAACAGCCCATATCTGAATTACCCTGCCAAAGCTGTATTACAAAGAAAGACCAGAATAGGGCTATTATGTAAGTAGACCTAAAAATGCTTTTGCTTTGTTTTTATTATTAAAGTTGGCTCAGAGGATTACTGCATCATTTGTTGAGCATAGCATGTGTTCTGTGAACCTGTTTTATTAACTGCTGCTAGATTCCTCACCAGGAGTTGAAGTGGTTAAAAGATGATTTTGGTCAGTATATTGATTTGACTCTGTAGCTATGCAACGGATTTTGAAGTTTTATACTCACATATATTTATTATGTATTTAATACTTCTTCATTTGCTTTAAAATAAAACATCTTCATGTTTGATTTATCTTTTCTTTAATCTTAGACAACGGTTCATTTACCTGAGCTGCTGGATGAGATCCTCTCCCTCCTTGATGACGTTGACTGTGACCTGCAGTGTGGTCTGTTGCTGTTGTCCAAAGCGTTTGATCAGATCCTGCACGGCCTCCACTGACTCGGCGTAAACGTCGTCCAGTAGCTCCTTCTGGAGCTCCTCCAGCCATGTCCACAGCTACAGGAAGACATTTGTTAGTATGATATAGCATTTTTTTTTTTTATCCAGCAAAGAGCAGTCTGAAACCCTTTTCACACATACAGAAATATCCTGAAAAGCTCTGGAGATTTGGCTACCCGGAGGGTCTTTAGGCTATGTGTGAACACAAATAGCCGCATTTTTCGCGCAGAATTTACCCGGAGTTTCTACAGCCAGACCCTTAGTATTTTATCCGCAGAAAATCCGAGTGAGCTGATGTCTGAATTGAGATTTCAATTTGAGCCAGCGGGACCCGAATCATGTTTACCGTATGTAGAGTGACTGCATAAAGTGTCTGCACGCGACCACTAAGATCTCCGTGCACGTAATTAAACAGCTGCATTATGTTTTCTGTTCTTCAGTATGTTGTTCTCCTCTCTTTTGTGGATGTTGTCATTCCATTGGATTACACATAGCATTGATATGAAGGCAAATATTCTCATTATAATGTCGAGTAGTGGACTCTGTTGCTTCGGCCGCTACTTCCACGTTGTTTATTTACGTCACGTCTTACCTCAGGAAATCCCCCCCTCCCCTCTGACAGGGAAAGTCCCCCGCTGTGAGGAGCATATGTGAACGGCTAGGTCGGGAGAATCTCCGGAGCAGTCCTCCTGTAATTAGCTATATTATCCTCCGGAGTCCATATGTGAAAACGGCTTTATAAACTTTCTTCCAACGTTTCTTGTAATTTTCACATTGAGATTTGAATGAGACTAAAGTGAAACTTCGCTATACAAAGTTGAATTGAAAATAATAACACTCACTAAGCAAGATGACTTGCTACAAACAAATTCTGAAACTTCTGCCTAAACTTGACCCAAAAATAATGCCAAAAACATCCTCCCTAAGAAGACGAGTACTGGAGAATATACTCAGATTAGAAAAATACTTGGTGAAAAAATGTGTTACCACTGGATACCACTGAAGAAAAACAATACAAACACATTCCATTTTTTCTGGTAATTATGTCCCTCTTGTTTAGAGAGCACTGTGAGAACTCATGAACACAAACACACACACAGCCCACCATCCACTTCAGCGTTATGTCATCCCCGCTGCCTACCTCTTTGACATGTGTATGGAAGGCGACAGACATGTCCAGCAGGACTTTACGCTGCTCCACGCGGCGGACAAAGTCTTGGATTCTGTCTTCGAGCTGGTGGGCGGCCTGGTAGATCTCCTCTGGGTCGCACTCTCCCGTCTGGGCCAGCTGCTCGGCCGCCTCAAGCAGCTTGTCTGCATTGGTGTAAGTATTCTACACCAAGGCCGGGGACAGCGAGACAGAGAGACTGATTAACCCAGGAGGAAAAAAACGTAATAATGCTACACAAATGTGTAGAGGAAGAGAAGAATACCAAACAGGATATGTAGAAGAGGTGTACACTGATTAGAGGCAGTGATAGTAAAGTCAGAGGAAATAGATACAGAGCGGCTGAAGAGAAAGAGACATATTCTACTCAAACAAATGGCAACATCAAGGGGAAATATAACAAAAAGTTGATATTAGCTGACATCACAGGTTTTTGAATCTGGCAAAATCCCTTTTCTTAAAAATCATTACATCCCAAAAAATAGTCGTAACAAACAAGGGGCCTGTAATTGCAGTATCCGTAGTAATACATATACTGAGTATATGTGCTGAGCTGCATTACCTTAGAGATTACTAACCGCACGTCAATCAGGTGTGATGTGAAACTAAGAACTCATTGGATGATCGAGCTGTTATTTTTGGCAACTTCAAGGGAAACAGCTGCGCCAAGTTTAAAGTGAGACAGTGCGAGATTTGCTGAAAACAGTTTTACTTTGGCCACAATTGACAAGTTGGCAGTATAAGTTACATAAATGGGAAAGAGTCATAAATTCATTAAGACTGTCTCACTAATGTCTTTTACACAGTAATACCTATCTGCTGTAGTCTGCTGTTAGTACCGCTTTTTACTCAGTTAAGCAGTGGACTTTTTAATCACCTATTAAAACAACTCTTTAAAGAGCAAGTTTGATTCATGATATTTCTCAAAAGTTACAGTCATATTGAGAATCTAATTACCCACCAAAAATAATCCAACATTTAATGATTTTTAAACCACCAAAGTGGAGTTTGCACTGCTGTTCTAACAAACAAAAACAAAAAAAAATCACTGAAAACACGGTGCTATATTGTCTGAGAGCATGTGACGAGCGAGACATACAGAAACAAAACATACCTGTGCCACTTCCTCAAAGTCTTCGTGCCGTTTCTGTAAAGCTCGGGCTCGGTGGAGGGACTTTCCCACACCTGTGTGTTTGCTGAGAAAGGCCTCACCATGATTTTCTATCCAGTCCAGCACCTGTACACAGAGACCACACAGACCACAGTAAGCTTGAAAATATCCAGGACCATGGGGAGGGGGGTGGGGGGTGGGGGGTAGATGAGCCACATGTGTTCAAGAAAACAAAAAGAGTTTGTAGGAGGAGAGGGATGACAGAAATGGTGATGAGTTGTCGACGGTATCTGTACCCTTTGCTTTTCACACTCATCGTCCTGCCCTCAGTCCTTTATATTTTTAATAGATGACCAGCATCTGCATGGACACATGACCCAATTCAGTTGCCGTGGCAACAGCGGCCATGTCACCACATTCTTGCTTTTTGGACAGCGTGCAGCTTTATCTTCCTTTTGGACCATATGATTATCAGGCACAGTAATTTGACTTGTTTTCAGGCTTTTTGGTCTGCAGAGAACATTTACATTTCAGGAAATTCCCCAATGTTCCTTCCAAGTGAAACACATGATGGTCCCAGCGAAACACTGAAGGACATTTTGATAGGAAACGTGGCTGCTACTGAGATCAAACCCTCTATTAAGATTAGAATTCTTCTTACCAGTACTCTAACCTGCTATTTTCAAATTACTGTCTCACCCTCAAGTTAAACTGAAAACTTGCAAATAAGTTTTGTCCCGACAAAAAGAAACATATAAAGCAAAATAAATATATATAAATATCCTGTATATGTGTGTGTTTACCTGCTGGACATCCTGTTGAAATACACAGAGCTGCAGACGTTGGTGCAGCCGAACTTTGCGGTGTTGCCAGATGTTTTCCAGCTGTCTCTGATGATGCAGCACCTCGTGGATAATGTCCAGGACGTGGTGTACTGCCTTGGAGTAGTTTGCTGATGCTGTCAGTGAATCAGCACTGCCTGGGGTCAAAGGTCGCTGCAGCTTGTCTAACAGGGCTTTGCCATCCTGGCTCACCTGTAAAAACGGTTGGAAAATCTACTTTAAAAAACACGATATCAACAAGGATATAAAATGCAATAATATAAAATCATATTCTAAATCATAACCCAAATATAAACATCCAATTCAAAACAATTTTGATAAGATACTCATAAAGAGTAATGGTAAATGAAAGAACAACAATGGAGGAATTTGTGATTGTAATTATTATTTTGCCCTGCAATTCTAATTCCTCACATTAGTTCATTTAAATACAATTTTTAGCGATGTTGTGATTGTCAACAAATTGAGTTGCACAGTCTTCTTCAACACTGATTCCCTGCTCTGTGGGCATGGTACGACTTGAGATTTTTGCACATGTGGATAAGTGGGGTGTTACCTCAGAGTAAGCAGCAGTAATGTGTTCATAAAGGCCTTGGTGGTGATGGATGGCATCTTCAAGGTCTTGCAGCTCAGAGGGCAAATCTACCTCCCCGCACGCCTTGCACCACGAGTCCACATTACTCATGTACTGCAGGGGAAGAAAAGCATGCATCGATTTTACAAGAAGCACTCACATGAGACAGTGTACGCATGTGCTCTTCTCTGGAGTCACATGTTAGTCAGACAAAACCGTAGGGCAGGAGAAATTGGAGGGACATTTTCTTTTACCACTACTTAGCTTAAATATGAAGAAATGTTCCCCATGTGAAGTTATAGGAGCTCTTAGGACTTTCTCAGCAGAATTATCAATGGATGAGTTTGCTGTTAATCGGCTTCTGGTAACTTCCTTAACTCTCTGTTACGCATTGTGTGAGAAAGACAGCAAACCTATAAGAAAGGGGTCTCTAAAGGAAACTTCAGACAGTTGACTTGCTCTTTATCCCCTTTTAAACAAGTCTCCAATCAAAGTTGGAATAACACATGGGAGTTGAACAAAGAGTGAAAATGAGCTTCTGAGTATATATGAGGCAGGAAAGGTTGTGGTGAAACCTATGGGGGGGACGGGAAGCTGTTTCTATTTCAGCTAACAAACATGAAAGGCTGCTCAGATGACGGCAATGTTCCAGGTCGGAAAAGTTGTACCACCCATGTTCCCTGGTTGGGAGACTGTTTATGTGCTCTTTCAGGCCTTGAATTATTCCATAGTGTCATGACTAATGAGCTCAGATAAAAATAACAGGAGATAATACTTAATTCATTTCTCATATGTGTAGGTAAATTTATGCTAATGTAATGCATATGTAAGGCTTTGTAGATTTAATGAGGCCAAATGTGCATTTTGCAACCAGGACTGTGTGTCCATACATGTCCCTGTGCATTCATTGAGACAGTGGAGGTCATCACATCAGCTGGTCCCAAAGGCACATTAATGTTATTTAAACTTAAGCCAGTCCCAACTAAAACTGTCTTAAAGCATCTCCCCCCCCTCCTACATGATCAATAATATACTGTGTTGTGTTCATGCATGAGTTGGGTATGTAGATCATATGCATAACAAAAAAGTTTAAGACACAGTGAGTGGAATTAAAGACTGCTGCACAGCGGGTGGCAGCTTTTCCCTGTAATTCTTGACTCTGTAAAACCACCTTTACTCTATATATTTTAAGTCTTTTTTTACACTTGGAATTGTATAATAAATAAACCAAGTGTACATATTTTACGAGCTAAAGACATCAAGGAATGGTGGACTTTTTCACCTTGTGATGATGTGACAATGGTTACTCTGCTTGTCTTTGCAGCTGGCTGAAATTTAAAGTTAGTGTACACATTTTTCAATTTGTTTTTGGTCCAATCACTCTAAAGGCTAAGAAAGTTGGATAAGTAAAAATAGACTACGGGGGCTCCAGTTTTGCATACCTCTTACATAAAAATGAAAGTAGATGTCAACAACAAGAAGAGCCACAATATAGTCTAAAAAAAAAAAAAGCATAGAATTGTTGTCAGAATTCAAATTTGACCAGCATTTTGAGTTATTTCTGATAAAAGATTACCAGTTCCTCTGCGTGTCTAACATGGCTCATAGATCAAACTTTTGAAAGGATTATCAGCGTTTCGCTCACATAATCAGAAACAGAATTAAGAAATACTTGATTAATCCCTGGGGGAAAGTTGGTTGTTACAGTTGCTCTTAAACACAATATAGCAGAAGACTATAAAAATAAAACAGAAGAGAATTAATAAAATAAGCATAAAATAGACGATACTCAAAGATGACCCTGCCGGCTGCTCAGGTAATCTATGGCTGAACATATAAACAAACATATATATCATTGTGATGCACCTTTTTTCACAATATTCGAATAGATTTAAATATTCCCCATATTAACCATCCATCCATTCCCCATACTGCTTATTGTGTTGGGGACATGGCAGACTGGAGCCAACCCCAGCTGTCATTGGGACAGGTCACAGAGAGAAACAACCAGACACTCACACTCGCGGGCAATTTAGATCACCAATTAACCTAATGAGCGTGTCTTTGGTCTGGGGGAGGGTGCCTGGAGAGAACACAGAAAGGTCCCTGCTTGTGTTCAGCATGGGAATCGAATAAGGAACATTTCTGCAAAAAAACCCTCCAGCTGCAGCTCAACATCTGCGTTGTTTCTGACTCACCTGGTCACATTTCTGATGGAAGCTGGCCGACATCTCCAGAAGCGTGCTGCGCTCATCCAATGCTGCTGCGAAGGCCTTCCATTCCTTCTCAAGCTGACCTGAGATCTGTTTGATCTGTTGGGAGGCGTAGTGACCCGACTCCAGGAGCCGGTTGCCCACGGACATGATCCGGTTTATATTCACGTACACATTCTGCAAAGCACGATGCGGGAGAAAATGAAAATGATGGTTGAGAAAAAAAGATTGTGGCTAAATAAAACACCTTAATTGGGTTAGACTGAAATAAAATTAAAAAAAAAGAGATTAAGGAAAAAAGATAAAGTAGAAAGCAAAGAGATAGCGTTGAGCAAAGTGTAAATGAAGCACTGCAAGTAAAAAACACTGAGGTGAGAGCTAATGAATGAGCACCATAGTTTCTCATCTGAAGGCTCTAGCGGCTAGATTGATTCCTCCTCTAAACAGTTTTATAATGGTTACATAAGCCTGTTTGTGGATAAAGAATAGGATTATTCAATACCTAGTTGTGCTGCTGCTGCTGCTGCTAACACGCAGAAATGTGCAAGTGCACAAAAGCAGAGGCTGTTCCAAACAAACACTTGAGCACAGTTATAGAGGTTGATACTAAATGTCATAACTATATGATTATACAGTGCAGGCCACGGACCTGATAGTCCAAGTGGGTGGACAAGTATTACCTCCTGCTGTGAGGGAGTGTGTGTGTGTGTGTGTGTGGGTGTGTGTGTGTGTGTGTCTTACCATGCAGTTCATTGCAAAGTGGTTATGCTGGGTTTGCAGCTCAACAGCGTGGGGGTGGTTGTTGCCAATCTCTGTGTAGCCTGCCAGGAACAAACCCTTGTTGTGCATGATCCAGTCAAACATCTGAGGCATGGAGGATGACAGAAGAGTCACAGAAAAATATATAAGCAAACCAAAGAAAAACATATGCACAAGGCTCCGGTTCAGTGACAACTTTCACAGAGCTTTGCTAGAGCAGGCGAAAACAAACAGCTGGCACCTGGCCGGTGTGTAGAGACTCAAGTGTGTTGACTGCTGCAACACGCAGATACTTGTCATCTTTCCAGGCCAGTATGAAGAGAAAAAGGGCCGCCTCAATTAAGAGTATCCTCTCAGGCTCTCCAAGAGAACAACTCGTGGCCTATGGTGTCCTAGCAACAAGCTCCTACTACTGCAGTGTATCCAAGACTGCAGCTCTCCCTGTTGCTGCAACCTGCTTTTTTTTTTTTTTTTTTTTTATTCTCCTCGCTCAAACATGGATCTCTGAATTTCTCTCCGTGTCTCTTTTCACTTTGTGCTGCAGCTGTCATCACCTGAGCTGTCAGAAGAGAAGGTGGCTTTGCGCCTGCAGGAGCTACAGTATTCTCCATCGCCCTGTCTATTAATACTGTAGGGGTTGGAGGGTAAAGCCCTAAACCCTGTTTTATTTGAGGGATTATTGTTTAATTGTCAAAACAAAAAGGAAACCGGTTCATGTGCATTAATCAATGCTTTTCTGTGGATGTAATGAAGATAGGGTTTATATTGGCAGTCGTTTGCCCCACAGTAATCACCAACTGCAGTTATAGATCACCACTACATCACTTCTCATGCTGAATGACCCCCCAACACAGGCGATCAACCGACCTTCTCTGCATCCTGTTCAAACAGGCGGAGCTGGAAGCACTGATCCAGCTGGAGCTTGCGGACATGCCAGGCCTGGTGGAGGTGCTGTCTGGTGGAATGCAGTTTGTCCAGCAGCTGGGTGATCCTTGGCATAAGTCCCTGGGTGTCGGCATTACACATCCCACTGCTGCTACCGCTGCTGCCGCCACTGCCCCCGCTGCCGCCGCCGTTACGGTTGGAGAAGGACTCGCTGCTCTGGATTCTCTGGAGCAACCTGGAGATGGATTTCATATGTATTTGGATGGCAGGACTGAATTACTCATGACTGTTTTATCTGTGTCGCTAAAACAACTCTGTTTTCGCTGTTTGTGTGAAAAGCTTACTTCTGTTGATGTGTTAAATATCACATCAATAGAAGCGAGATAAATAACCATTCCAATCACGGTTTTATATTTAATGGACCAGATTTTTGAGGACTGTTACAGCAATGCTGATGTTTTATTTACATAGCAAGTGCATCAAACAGTTCAATTTTCAAATTTGCTTTACAAATAAAATATTATTATTATTGATATTATTACCATTATCGATAAGAGTCTAGTGAGATTAAAATCAGGGTGAAAAAAATCAACTTTATTTGTTTAAACCTGCACATTTAGGGAAATGTTCAGATTTTTTTGTTTGTGTGTGAAAACACGATATGTCGGGTTTTTGTGTTTGCATATCCGCTGTCTTCAAAATACCCCTTGATGTGATAAATTAAAGGATTTAAGATCATACTATTTTGGCGTTTAAACCGTGCATTGTAACTTTTCTTAACAACTTTTAGTGAGCTTACTTAAAAACAACATTCCTCCAAGCAGAAACGAGTAAGAACAAATCAATCTTAATGGAGAACGACTTTTAAAATAGTTGTGAAGACAGTTCTGCCTCAGTCATCATTTTAAGCGAAGCACTAAAATCAAACAAGACAGGTTGCTTACCTCTGTCCCTCAGTGTCCAGCTCCTCTATCGGGGCTTTTATAACTTTCTTTTTCAGCGTGGCATGTTCTTCTATCATCCGCCGCGCTCCCTCCAGATCTTGAGGAAAGTCTTTCCTTGAGACAATTTCCTGCATCTCCTCTAGTCGAGCCAACATTTGGGTGGCATGACCAGAGAACTCCTCGAATGCAACACGCACCTGATGAACAACACAGCAAAGCGTTCAATCAAGGAGTTTGAGTTTCAATTATTACCAATAAAAGGGCACTCATGTTTAAACTGTAGATACTACATACTGAATGATGTATACAGCATATAATAAGGTGCCAATTAGTTCTGCTCGGCTACCACTGACACCACAAAACTATCTGCTACTCTACACCTTGATACAATTCATCCACTTTTTCTCTGCTTACTGAATAAATACTGAATTAAAAGTCATTGAGAGTCTTAGAGAGTTATAGATAGATTTTCCAACCAGGCCGTTTGGCTTAAGGTATAGGATGAGTCTGACTATCTTACCTCTATCCATTCATCGTGGTTGTAGTCCAGGCTGCCGTCAAAGTCCGACGTCAGCTGGGAGGGGTCAACGACCTTTGAAAGGCCCTCTAGCGACACCATGGTGGTCTGGGGTGCAAAGATGGGGGAAAGTAGATGAGATAAAGGAGAGTGGATATGGAGGGGTTTTAGGTGGATTTAGTTTTACTTTAGTCAATTGAGAGCAAACTGCCTTTAATCTCCTCTTCTCTCACTGCATTTTGAAAAATGTTCACTGCCATCTGGTGATGCCAGAAATGTGGTTATATACAGAGGACATAAAGCAGCCCCTGGTTCTCTAGTTTTGTAAGAAAGCAAGAGTTTCAGAAATAAGATTTGAGCAAAAGTAGTGCAATCAATACATCATCAGACATTACTTAAGCTCTCTTCAACCTTTTGAACCTGGTAATTTAGCACACTCTAGCTCCACTATACAAGAGACACTTTAACATGGAGCGACAAAAACTGTTCTGTCACAGTCAAAACAGCAGCGATGCAACAAATCATATTTGATCCACTCAGAACATCCCCCCCCCCACCCCCTCCACAGTTCAGGCTGTATGTGAAGATAAATCCTTGTGCAGTGTCAGAGAAAAGAAAGCAACATTTAAGTCATGTGTGTAGGCGCCGTAGAGATTTGCTGTAAAAATAGGAAGACAGCCCTGTTTTTAATAAAAAATAAATAAAAAAATTCTCAGACTCAAATGTGTAAAGTGTTGATATTTCAGTGTGGATGGATACTTGGTATCAAACAGTGTCGCTCATTCTCACTGTGTCTGCTGATGTCTATGCATTGATGTTGAGTGTTACAAATACTGGTATTAAAAATGATGCAGTTATTTATATTACACACTGTTTTACTCAGATTTTTTAAACGCACCTTTTAAATAATAAAGGGGCGTTCAGGTTTATCTCACTGCTTGTTTTATTGTTATTGCAATGTGTACATATGAAGATAACTGAGGATGCAATACATCATGGAGATGCATCGTCATCTTTTGTTCTGTTTTAATGCACAGGTACAGTCATGGCTAGCCGAGGAGTAGAAACGCTTTTAATAATAAAGATTCACTTTTTTTTTTGTTTCGAGCCGAAATAAAAAAACAAAAACGATCTGATCCGTGACACAAATCTGCGATCGGACTCAAGATGTGAGATATGTAATGTTGTGCACACCTACGAAACAGTAATGCACTCACGACATGTTGTCTCTGTGACGTCAGGATTAAACAGGTGAAAAACCTTTTGTACAAATTCTTGTAGACCGCCCGTGGTCTACCTTCACTTTCGAGGTAAGTTGAACTAAATCCTCTCCACATTACAAAATATCAATTTCAGAGAAACGGTAAGGAAATGTCTCTCCCTGCTTTGTCTCAGTGCCTCTGTTTTTCTGCAAAGCCACCTCCGCACAACACCCCCACACACATGGCCAGAGATGGATGGAGACAGAACGATAGCTAGCTGTGTAGGCCAAACAATGTAGAAACGAACAGTTGTCCTTGGGTAAAAAGCACAGTGGTCCTTAACAGGGGAAAGGACTGTTACTGCTATGTCCGCTTTTGTTGTTCAAGTTAATTGATTTGTACTCCTGAATGGTGAGGTGGGGGGGGGAGGCGGTCAGGGCTATTGGGTACCATTTACCACCCACAGAGAACCAAACAATTCATCGACAGTTAAAGTCAAGGTTGAAGCAAGTTCCCTGCTCTTCAGTTCGCTGCTTCTTTTCTTTTCTCCGACATCCAATCCAAAAGAGAGGAGAGCGAACAGTCCAAGCCCGAAAAGACTTTCTGTTGCTTTATTCATTTAACCATCTCTCGTTTATCCCTTTCTTTTTATCTTCATTCTGTGTTTACAGCCTGTGATGTGATGTCGTCCCACTCTCCCTCAATTTTTTTATTTTAATTTTGTTCTCTCCTGGTTGATTTTAAACTGATTCATCTTCATTGTACTAAACTGCCTCTTCATACCTGCCTGTCGTATCTATTTTATTCCTGTTATTTGCATTTATATTATAACTTGCCCTCTCTGTTTGGCCCGTCTGTTGATCTCTGTTCTGTTGTTGCTTTGTCTGTCACAGCACTTTGTAAACATTTGTTTTTAAAGGTGCTATATAAATAAAGTTATTATTATTATTATTATTATTATTGATGCAAACACAGACACTTGCTTCAGTGACAGTCAATTATGTGTGTTCCTAATGTGCAAAATGCTGAAAAAAGACGAAGACCTGTTTACTCAATGGTCTTCAATGTTTTCAATTTCATATAACAAATAGTTCTAATGAATGTACAGTAAGAGGTCAGGCAGTGATACATGAAGGCAGGAACACAATCAACACCCGCATGGCTTCCAGTTGCACAGCAGGCCAGCTTGTGGATAACTATAACCTGCCCTGTGGCATCTGCCTATTCCTCTCTCGACTAATCAATAAGATGTCATCAGACTACTGTGGACCTGTGTATGTGAACAGCCATGTGAGCAATCAGCGCTACTTCCACATCACTGCTTCAGGAACACACTTTACAGGAATCGCGGCTCAAACTGTGCAGAGAAACAAGATTCTGCAGGATGTGAGTTTGTATCAACGCATGTCTCTCGTCTCAGAAGGAGAAGCTCATCATCATCGCAGTGAGGAGTGTTTTTTTAAAGACTGATCAAACAGAGGGTGGGGAGTTGTTAACTAGTCCTCATTAGAGGGCATTTACGAAAACAGGCTTCCAATCCAGGCTCGACTGCTTAAACCGCACAGTCCTGTTTTCACTGTTGTACCAGCTTGGAAAAGTGGAGCAGGAGCACATTTTAGGTGTCAATTTAAAAAAAAAAAAAAAAAACAAGGAATAGTCAGGGCATTAAAATGTCCATTCTTGTGAATTTGTCATTTAAAAAAGCTGTGATGATGAGGTTCTAACACTCAATGATCTGCATTGCAAACGCTGGTGCTCGTGATCTGCTGTGTGCTTGTTCGAGAGGTTGAATTCGATTAATTATTTTTTTTCCGTCTGGCAGACAGCTGGCTGGGGTTGCACGCATCCAAAGCAGTAGGGAGGAAAATAATGAAATGTGCTGACAATGAGCAGCTCAGCTAGCTGCTGCGTTCACAATCACAACTCAGCTGACAGCAAATTAGAGAAAATATGGTTGACTTTTGTTCTAACTCACAAATGTCAAATATAGAAATTGATCTCTGTGTCACAAAAAACAACCTCTGTATCACAATTTCTTTTAACAACCTGATCCAGTCAGTCAAGTTTATCCTTGACTGAGATGCAGCCTGACATGACATAAATGACATGTAGCTATGACTGAAAGCCTCACGTCTGAATCGCAGCAGTCCACCGACATCGCCTCAGTTTTAAATGGCTATGACATCATTATGAATTGTTTTAAGTTGACATCAATTGTTGTCATATATATAATATATGACTGTAAAAAAAAAACATATTCTGGCATTTGCATTTAAATTATTGTTTTCGAGTGTCGTTCCTGAACCTAAGAAGAAAAAAAAACCTGTTTGCATATTTTCCAATAAAGTCAGCAATCTAAGAATCATATCTGCTATTGCAGCAAATGCATCACTGCGCCACACAGAATTGGAAGATTTTTCTCATCCTACCTCAAACTCAAACTTGGAGCTGCCAAAATTCGTCCTCTGCTTCTGCCAGAAGTTGTCTGGTTTGATGATGAGGGCGACGTGGATGCAGGATGGAAACGATTCCTGCAGGATCTTCAGCAGAGGCTTGATGCTATCCCACTTGGAGCCGCGCATATCAACGATGACCGTGAAGCCATGTTTACACACCTCCTCGCTGGGATGGATGGAGGTCGGCGGGAGTGGGAGGAATTAAAGAGAAGAGAAGGGAGGGAGGGAGGGAGGGAGGATGTGAAGGAGGGAGGGGCAGTGAGGGATTGGAGAGAGGATAATCCAGAGAGAGAAGAGACAGATGACAGGCGTGGGAAAGGATGAGGGAGGGATGGAAGACAGTGAGAGTAAAGGGAGATAAAGATAAAAAAGAAAAAAAGAGAGAATCAAAACAAACAGTGATATGACGCATTTTCTATACTCTGAGAAGCCTACGCAGTCAACACACATCCCCCACAACCACCCACGCACCCACACACTCCCACCCACACACAAAAACCTGTGACCAATGAGTCACAAATGTGTGCATAAGTATAAAAATACAAATCAGCACATTTCTACATCAGGAACATGATGGCCTGGTGGGCCTGACATCATTAACGGATGACCTCACACACACAGAAATGAAATACATCTGCTGCACACACCTGAAACTAAAATTATGCTGAAAAAAAACCAAACATGAGATATTACAAAAACAACTGTTTTCATAGGTTGGGAAGAAAAACCTTACTCGTAGATTTTCACACAAATTCCCACAAATGTTTCTATCAAAACTGTTTTATGAATTTACAAACCTGGACAACTAACTCGACCCTTTGATAGTGCCATGCATTTCAGATAGCATTCCTCCATCTGGTTTTTTCATTTATTAAACCATAAATGTTTATTGTGGTAAATATCTATTTTTGCATCTCGAAACCCTACATCATGTTCAAAAACCTCTCCCTCTGTAATGGGCTGTCAGTAGAAAGCCAAAAGCGCAGCTGTTTGCAGATGTTGCCTCTCCCAAAATAGAACACCTCTGGATACCAAAATACAACAATGGTTAAGAGATGAAGGTGTGCAGAACATGACATGATGACAGTGATATTATGAATTCCTTAAAATCTTAAAAAGTCAGTCAAATGCATCTTACTAAAAGTGAACGTGCAAAATAGATAAAGTGGTGACTAAAACGGAGGTGAGGGTAGAGGTAGGACAGGATGGATGGATGGATTAGGACAGGTGGAGGGATGAGACATGAGCCAGATTTGAGAGGCAGAGAAGTAAACAGAGAGCTGGAGCAGAGCGATGTTTTACCTTCGAGGCGAGGAGCTTCTCGTCCACAGTAACTATTGCTGCTGCACCGCCTCGGCTACTGCGACACTTTGTTTTGCTTTCGCACATACACAATTGCTCGCTCTCTTGCTCGCACACACCTCCTCACACATGCGCTCTCCCTCTCTCTGTCGGCTCTAATCCCCTCCTCCCCTCCCTCCCTCTCTCTCTCTCTCTCTCTCTGCACTGCTTTCTCTCTGTTGATCTCTTCCTCCTCCCCTCATTTGTTTGCTGTTATACATCCCTCTCTTAGCTCAGGCTTTCCCTCTCTCTGTCTCAGCATCTTACCATGTCACTAGAACTGGTTTTTGACAGCAAAGAATCTGCGGCAAGCTTACTGGTCTTGAATCATTTCTCTCTCTTCATTCCTCCCTCACCCCCTCACATGCTCATCTCTGCTCTCTCACGTGCCTTACAGAGCCTCGTCCACTTGCTATGGGTGTTGGCTTCGTTTTGTGTCATTGCTTCCCCTTCCCTTTAGATGAATGACAGCACATATGCATAAGCAGTGTACTCAGCACACAGCCCAGAACAAAAGTGAAGAATGTCTAACCTGGGGATGCCGGCAAGGTAGGCAATCAGTCTCCGCAGGTCGTCCGTTCGTATTCTATCGTGGTTGCTGCGTGATGGAAATGTTAACACTGGACCGCCACGTCTGTCTCTGCCACCTGAGGCGGACACAGACACACAAAGTTAGATTAAGAACATGACACATCATATACAGTCAAAGTATAGTTGTATTGTCAGTAAATGACTGATATGAGATGCTGAGCTGCAATAAAATATAAAACTTTTAATAAGTTCCAGTCCCATATAACCTCAAATAATGTTTCTGTATTTCATCCAGTATCCCTTTAGTTTGCTTCTTTTTTTTATTACAGAATTTCTGCATTCATATTCTTGTATCTTAAATACAATCCTCAGAATATTATTTTGTCATTTGAATTAGTGGCTGGGTGACATTTGCTGCAAATACATAATAATGAGACTGACTTATGAATTATGAATGTGGTATTATAATAAGAATATTTCAGTTTGTGACCAGTTGCTGAAGCGGAGAGCTGCTGTGCTCACACGGTAACTTGTAAACACAGGCTGACTGAGTTCAGCACACAAATGAGTCGAGTTCAGTCAGGCTGCTGTGTGCATGTGGGCCCGGCCCGGCTGCTCAGAGGAGGAAATCAAAACGCTCACGTGGCAAACTGGCAAACATGAGTGAGGGTGAACACGGTCGATTTATTAAGGGGCCAGATTCGAGATAATAGGCTTAGCTCATTTACCCTCCTTTTCACCGACAGTCCGTCCTTTACCTCCCGCCCTACTTCATTTCAAAGCCAATTACTCCGCAAGCGACTACTACGGGATGCTGTAGAAGACAGTAAGTCATCTCCATGGCAACCTGGCCCTGCCTTTCTCTCCCTCTGTCTCTTTCTCTGAAATTCAGTGTTTCGTCTGAGTCATGGTGTCATCAGTGTGTTACTGCCTATGACCTTAGCTGCACACAAGAGGAGACCAAAGAGGAGTGTGTACACAACATGCACATGCCGTTACTACAATATCTTTCATGATGAGACTTCTGAAGTGTGAGAGAATTGTTTTTTTTTTTTTTTAAATCAGCATTTGGATGAAAGTACACACACGCGCGCGCGCACACACACACACGAGCAGAATGATGTCTGGTGTGTTTTACAAATAATCCCGCTGGATGTTCTTGGCAGTCCTCTTCTCCAGCTTGGCCTCCTGTGAGTTTCCCTGGCAGGACTTTAGTGTGTGTCTGTGTGCATGTGTGTGTGTGTGTGTGTGTGTGTGTGTGTGTGCGTGTGTGCGTGTGTGCGTGTGTGCGTGCGTGTGTGTGTGTGCCTGCCCCATCAGTATGTGTGTTTTTGTGTGCGCTTGTCAAACAAGGCTGTACTTCCCTTGGAGGGGACAAAGACACAGCAGTAGTTTTCTATCCTCTAAATTCTGACCATGTTTCATAAACAAGGGATGTCTAGATGTGTATCATGTGTTTTTCACGTGTCTATGTACTGAAAGTGTACTGAGAACAGTCAAGGGCCTCAGTCTCACTCTATGGGGTTTTACAGGCAGAGTATGAGGCTTAGAATTAAGTCCATGTGTGTGTGTGTGTGTGTGTGTGTGTGTGTGTGTGTGTGTCTCTGTATAAGAGAGAGAGCTAAAGAAACAGTGGCAGAATGTGTGCAAAATACCTGCAAGCTGTGCATATATGCAAAGTAAGGCTTCATTAACCTTGTCTAACGTGATCAGACAGTCGGCTAGGGCTGCTCGATTTTGGCGAAAGTCATAATCACATTTCCTTTGATTTTTTTTCCATTTCTCATCTGCACAGCTGTCCCAAGAGTCGGCCTCTAGTTGGACACTTCAATGATCACCTCAATTACTTACATAGCACCTTTAATTTAATGTCTGTTTTTTGATAATTTTGCTTTTTAAAACATTGCTGTACATATATAAACAACACAAATATCAGAAGGTCAACACTTTTTTTTTTCTTTTTATTCTTTATATTCAGGTCTAATTACAGGTTTTTTTCCTCTCAACTGTTTATAGGTTCTTGTTTTAAATTGCACATATATTTTTATCCCTGCACGGGTTATGTACATTTCTTGTTATAAGTCTATTTTTAATTGCACAGTTTAAGTTTGATTCACCCTAGAGGTATTCTTTAAATCTTTTTTGGGGTTAATATATATGTATGGGAGGGGGGCGTCGGTTTTGTGGTTAATTTGTAACAAATGTTTCATGTCACGTACGTCTTTGTAACTTGCGACTGGATGCTTGTAATTTCCCTCGGGATCAATAAAGTATCTATCTATCCATCTATTGATATTGCGATCAGGATTAGATAAGTCATTGATTTTACAACATCTGCATCACATGCATTTATCAGACTTAAATGCTACTTGAACTCTTTGAAAATCAAGTAATACATTCAAATAAATAAGTGAAAACAAATCTAATATATGAATTGAAATGAAATGTTTTATTCTATTTTTTGGAGGTAGTGGTGATTTACTCTTGTGGCTTAAATATAACAACAAACAAGAAATGTTCACCACACATGAAAAAACCTATGGATAAAACGATCGTGACACAGCATGCAGCACAGTAATCGTTTAATCTGGATTATCTTGTTTTTACGATCGTGGGAAGCCAAAATCAAAATAGAAACTGAAACTTGATTGATTGCCCAGCCCTAGAGTCGGGGTACATAGACATTACAAACACGCATAATCTTACCTGAGAGATAGGCAACTTTTTCTTTGAGGATTGGAAGAACCTCCATGGCTCTCATCTCCTCATTTCTCCTGAAACCTGCAGGGAGGAAATACGAAGGAAACAAGTTAGAAAGGAAGGAAAGTGAAAGTACGTTTCCTTGTTCTCCTCCAGTTGATCAGCCATGACTCGTTTGTCTAGGTTTGGAACGGCTCAGATTGTGTCGACTTGTAATCTGAATATCTGCAGATTTCACAGGGCTCGAGTCTCATTTCAGATTGCTTGAATTGTGAGGAAACAGTCGACAAGTTACTCTAGCACCACAGTCTTACACACACACCCACACACACACACACACACAAACAAAACACAGACACACACCAGGAGGAAGCATAGCAGCTGTGGTTAGAGCAACAGTAGTGGTGAGACAAAGTGAGGCCAAACAGAGGGGAAGTTGAGGAGAAACAAAGAGCTGTTGTAACTCTGTCTGTAGCAGAGGTGAAACAGGGTAAAGAAACATTAAGCGCCACAGGCCACTTCAGTTCTCATCAGCTCCAGTTAAAGCATAACACCGCTGGTGGGTTGCTTCATCTACCAGTAGGTGTTCATTAGAAAGGAAAAGAATGTAATGTAGGTGTGCTAACACACTCACGTAAACAATGTTAAGCAGGTGTAATTGTAAGTATGTAATAGCATGACATCAGCTAAAAAAAATTAAGCAGACAATAATGGAAATGTTACTACTGGTGAATGATTTTGTCGCCCTCAGGACAAAAAGCAATGTTGACCTTATTATCAAAGTCATGAGGATTATGAGCATCACTGGTGTCTTACAAAGCTGTACGGCAATAGACTCAATAGTTTATAGTGCTACGGGCGCACACACACACACGCACACACACACACACACACACACGCACACGCACACGCACACGCACAGATGCAATCACAAGAGGCCAATCACTAGCATGATGAAATATCATTTTGTGAAAAACACCCTATTGAACCATTCTTTTAAGCTGTCGTTTATTTCAATGAAACTATTAAGAGACCAGAAAAACGGTGGGGGCAAAAATGACTACAAATATAATTTCTTTGACCCACTTCACCTTCTTTTAGATTACTCATTTCTGACACTCTCCTCTAAATCTGTGTCTGCTAGTACTTGCCTATCTTCAGGGATGAATCACAACAAAAGTGGCTGGTTAGCTTGATTACTTGAGCTTTCGAATAACTGAAGCTCTTTCCTTGGGGGAAAAAAAAACAAAAAAAAACATGTTGTGGCACTGCACACAAGGACTGATGTGTTTAACTGGAATCAATGTAAGAAACACTGGATTGCCAGTAAAAAAAATATCCCTGCACCACAAAAAGTTCCGTGGCAATAATCTCAACTATAAATTGACAGCCTATAAATGTCAAACTCGATCTCGCGGGTGTGATTGTGCCAAATATCCCCCCCCTGCTGTGCTGCTAATATGCCGTCAGAAGTGAATGAATGGCTGTCAGGGGAGATTCAGTAAGTGAAGACCTGTTCAAACAGCTCCTGTATACAGACACACAATTCCCAAAAGTGATTAAACTCTCATCTCAACCTCAAAACACACAGGTGGATAAACGGAGACAGAGTTTATCCTTCAGACAGAGAGGTCTGGTTTTTGTGAGTGAAGACCCAGACAAGCCGTATAACACTTTAACAGAGTCAGTCTGACGTTTACAGAGACCGGGTTTACTTCTTTTTTTATCCTCCATGTTGATGATAGTAAAAAAAAAAACATTCTCCGTTGTCTTTAGCAGGATTTAAGAGATAAGTAACATTTGTATCAAAACAAATGTAATGCCCTTCTTTTTTAAAAAGGAAGCATGAGCTACTTTTTGGTCCAGCAGATGTCACCCTTGAGCACCAACACGAAACCAAAACAGACTGCTGTTTGGCCACACTCCCCCGCCGTGCCGTACCGAAGCCTCCGCTCTCCTCCAGCGACACACCTCCAACCCCTCTCCACTCGTGTTACCGTGAAAGACTTAAGCGCAAGCGGCAGACAAACGCGTCCTTTGCGCGAGCCGCATGTGGTCTACAGTGCTGTGTTAGCAGGCTGATGTTAGCACACTTTAGTTAGCTCATAGCTTCACATTGCATATAATTTGTCACAGAAACGTCGTGATCTAAAAGCGCTTAGGTGACATCTGAATAAGCCTCCTTGACCAAACCAATCTCTGTCAACAATCTCAACAATCATAGCCGGCGGGACTCACTCATTGTCGACAGTCATGACTCAGAGACGACATTTACAGAGGGATAGGATATACTTGATTTCTTCTTTTTCAAGATTTCTTTTTAGGCGTTTCGTGACCCTATTGGAGAGACAGGACAGTGGACAGAGCTGGAAATCAGGGATAGAGAGCGGGCGAACGACACGTCGGAAAGGAGCCACAGGTCAGAGTTGAACCCGTGAGTATGATGTAGATGATGTAGACAGAGGTGGTTGGCGCTCTACTACTATTATGATGCGGAGCAGAACCCAAACAAAACATGCATACATACTCAACACTCGCAGCCACTTGTAGCGTATTGTTCTCCACTCTCAGATCTCGGCATGTTGCCATATTTATGACCGTATGCTAATGAGGATGCTAATTATTTCCCGCCAACGGAGGAGACGGATGAGAATCAGGTCTCTATTTTTACTCTCCGTCGCTCCTCTCATTTGTCTCTCGACTTCCCTCAGGCTGCCACAAAACACAAATTAACATGATCAACTACATTTCCCAGTGCGCTCGTGAAGGGAGCGAGGCTTGTACAGTTCTGCTCCTACTCTTCTTTGCTAAGGAGGGCTGAGCGTAATCTGGTTTTCATTTCAAACAAATATTATGAAGACGTTGTAAACTGTGTTATGTCCTGTACTTACATTTCCTTAATATAGACATTTGTTCGATGCATTATGAGCAATTAAAGCTTCAACTGTATGCTTTTCCTGTGAATTAATACAAAAGTTTAACAGTATCGCGATATTTTCTGTGACGATATTATATCGTCTCATGGCGGCCAAGTATCGATATTTATCATATTATATTCTAGATATGCTTTTAAAATGTTTAACTGCTGAAGGGGAGTTGCATAATTCATTTTGAACAAGTTGCATTGTTAAAAATTCATGTTCAAGTTCAATTAGACTGAAATACAAATAAAAAGAATGAAGTGAGATGAACGGACTGACAATATTTATCTTATGTGACAAAACAGTTCTTCATTTAGTTTAGTGTACTGGACATAATATGCAGTTAAAAATCTTAATCGCAATATATTGTATCACAATTCTCAGCACATCAGAAAATGTTAAAAATAGCAATAGAATCGTATCGTGCCTCGAGTGTCGCGATAATATCGTATCGCGGGGACTCACCCTACAGTCCAGTTTGATATTTATGGTTATTTATTTGGTACTGTTATTAGTAGCTATACATTAATTATTACCTTGTACTAATGCATCCTGTCAGTTTGTTTCTGATGTTCGACACAAACTTGGTGTCTAATTTGCTTTTAGCCATTAAGCAACAGACTAATCAAAGATAAAAAGGAAAAAAACAACTGTAGACAAAATGACGATCAGAAAACCACGTATGCCCAAAAGAGGGAGAGACTGTGTGTGTGTGTGTGTGTGTGTGTGTGTGTGTGTGTGTGTGTGTGTGTGTGTGTGTGTGTGTGTGTGTGTGTGTGTGTGTGTGTGTGTGTGTGTGTGTGTGTGTGTGTGTGTGTGTGTGTGACTGTTTGTGTCTGTGTGTGGAAAGAGGCAAGAGCACACTGGGGGTTTTGTAGCTCTGCGTCAATCCACTACTGTACTCTCAAATATAACTGTCACTAGCTTTAGGTCCACACTGATGCACTATCCCTGACTCTGTATCTCCTCAAAACACAGACGACTACAGACATGTTAACACAAACACAGACCTTTTTTCACAAAACAAAGTATACTTCAGTACAATGTTGTATTCTAGGTTAAATGATAGATTTCAACAACCTGTTGAGGACAATCTGGTAACAATGATTCATTTGTTTAAAGCTCCTTCTTTGACTACTGTCAGTGACTCCCTAGATCCCCCATAACTTCCAGAGAAATGCAGTGGATGTGTTTCAGACAGTAAAATGCATTCAATGTCTTGCTACTTAAATATGTGTTTTGAGAGATTGGATGTCGATGCATAATTGGTTTCTATAGATCTTTGAAACACTCTCTACTTGTAAATGACATGCGATCTGGAAGTATCTGACTAAGCTGACGTCATTTTTCTTTATTACAGTAAAAGCTGATAATTGAAGACACGAGTACAGTAGAACCTCCAGCTCAGGTTTTATAAGTCGTTTTCCTCTCTTGTCAAAGCAAAAGCCAAGTTTAGTCACACAGACACATCATGTACCCGGTGCTCTGCAGTACTTTGGTACTGGAAAGTGGCACAGCTGCTAAATATAGAGTAGCCAGGTCACCCTCTCTCTCTCTCTCGCTCTCTCTCTCTCTCTCTCTCTCTCTCATGCACACACACACACACATTATGCTGGATAAGGATGGTTTTCTTTGGATTTATGATCAGCAAGGAACAAAAAGGGGACAAGGAAATGAGAAACCACGAAAATGTGCAACATAATGAGACAAAACTTGCCGTAATGCGGTTGGGAAAAAGTGTGTGTGAGTGAGCGAGGGGAAAGAGACTAAGGGGCACAGTGAGAGAGCGAGGGACAGAACGTGAGCCAGGGTAAAGAAAAGGAGAGTAGATGGAAACTAACAGGCAGACAGGTGAAAAACATGGAGACAAATACAGAGATGTTAAGGACCAGTGTTCTTCACCTATTCTTTTATTTCTCAAATGTTTTACCGTCAGGTTGATGTCATTTATATTAAAGGGAATATGGAGAAGGAGGTTGTATTTACTTCATACAAAGTTGATAAAGGAATGAGGAGTATGGATCCCATTGGTCGCTTCTTTACGACACTGTGTCTTGGATGCTGCCTTCCTGGCTCTGTCATCCACAGAGATGCAATCTATGACAGCATTTCATGAACAGAAATGTTTACCTGCCCAATTTTGTAACTTTGTTTTATTGT